AAAGAGAGAGATTGGCAAGTGCCAGGAAGATGCTGAAACACACCTGAGTAGGCAATCACTGTCAGTTCAAGTACTAAGTTTGAGCCCCAGGTACCGAGGACCCTGATCCTAAAATTTTTTTGTGTGTTCTGGGCAAGTCGAAATCACCTCTTCTAAAAAAGGAGAAAGATACAAATCTTCCTGGAGAAGGATACCACACTCTCGCTGAAGAAATCGGTAACACGACGAATTGCCTCTTGGCCCTCAATCGATGCCGAAGACCGGTTCAAATTCTACGATCAGGTTTCAAGCTTCTGATTGCAGGAGATTGTGAGCAACTGTAGGCCTGGAATTCTTTCAGTTATTGGCACGGCAGGAGAAGCATACATTCCCTCATCCTCAAGTACCACTTTCCGATTGCAGGGGCAGGTTTGAATTTGCAATCCCTAAGCTTCTATGCAGATTGCTATCAGTTTGAAGGAGCAGGAGAATGTCACAACCACGAGAGCTAACTGGATCTTACCTTTCAAGAGTTAAATGAGAATTTGTATTATAATGAGTCCTACATAATGTATGGCAGCATATCCTGTAATAAACAAATTATAACACATGATCAAGTTATCAACCTTGAAGTTCAAGATGAGAAGACTTACTCAAAGCCACGAAAGAGATTGAAGAAGGAAAGAATCAGCACCACCAGTTAATTGAAGAGGCTCAATACAAAAGCGGTTGTTGCCCAGTTTGCTTAAAGTTTTGTGGTTAATTTCCATATGCCCAAAGCCAGTGGAAGGGAATTTACTCCTTCTCCTCCTATATGAGGACGGAATTTAATCATAAATGCCTATATATAGTTAATAACTAACCAAAACCAAAAGTAAAGTTTCATAAGATTGAACACAGATCATACTTAATTGAAGTTAACAACTGGTGGACTCATCAACAGAAATGCTTTCATCTTCCTCTAGGCTTGGTCCTTGGCTGGTTGAAGCAGGTGGAGTGGTTGAAATGTAATGGCAAGTTCAGGTGATCTATTCCTGAGTCGAGGATGGAGACTATAGCACTTAGGATATGATCACAGAGGCGAGAGTAGGAGCGTTATATATATATATTAGGGCATTGTATAGGAGAGACCTCGAGGATGTGTGCGAAGCGCACATAGAGGAATGGATGAGATTATGCACTTAACCAAATTAATAATACTGTAACTGAAGTTTTCAGGTGCCTATCTGAATGCACCGCTGAGCGCAAGGTGAAGGCTGCCCTCGCCGAAAGGCGAGAGAGATATATATATTATCGCTTAAAAAATGGAATGAGTTTTATTTTCCTTCTCAGATAAACCTTTGGTCCAATAAGATAGCTGGTAGGTTCAAAAGACGTCATTTTGGCTGGAGATGGAAAAATCCTGAAAGGAAAGTTTTTCTGGACTAAAACCATGGGACAGGATCACTGCATGATTTTTCAATTTTCTGGTGGGGAATCTGTCATTATTAAGCTTGAATTAATTAACCTCAGTACTGATTGTCTGGGGCCAAGGATCTCGCAATCTGGACTACCAGTTTTGCAGTTCTGTCTGGTTGTTGGGACCCAATTCTTGAATCTCAAACAGTGTCCATAGGCCTTGTTGTCTGGCTAACTCTGGAAAGATCAAGACATTCCTGTAGGGACTGTCCATCGAAGGGTTTAATAGGACTCGGCAAGTGAGCACCCGATATCTTCTAATGGAGCAAGGATCCTCGTGATTAGAAAAGACATGAAAAATATTAGATTATTTCTCAAAATTAATGAAAATATATATATATCCTATAATCAGTAAATTCTAAAATGCAAATTAGGGCATACTCCTCCTCCATTGAACCTGATCCCAGCATCAGTTATCAATGTTCTGAATGGTAATACATCCATCATGATATCCTGCACAGGAACGCCTCCAGCAGTGTACAATGCAATTACAGAACATCTATAAAAGAATAAATAGAGGGAAATCAAATATATATATATATATATATATACATAACGGTCTTGACTCATCAAAAGAAATATAACAACATAAGGATCTCTGTCAAGTTTGGTTTGATCTTTGGAAAGAGTTATTTCTTCCCTGACTCCCTCGTATGGATCATATGGGGACCTAAATAACGAAAATTATTGGTGTGAATAATTGTGGACGAAACATGGCTAGTTTCAAAAGTTAAAAATGAGGAAAAACATTAAGTCAATTTCATCTAATACCCCATCAAGTTACCCATCAGGATATGTATCAAACTCCACGTTCAATGCATCAAGGTCAAACGTTTGGGGCAAAGTAACAGATTCAAATTGTGCTGTTGTGGCATTCTCTGGCAAATTAACTTCTATGGAGGCGAAAGCTTTTCTTAATCCATTAAGAAAAACATAGCAATCATGGTAAAGATAATGGACTTTCTTTGAATATATCCGAACAACACCTAGCAAAAGGTGGCCTGACATTCTCAGCGCAATGGGAACTTCTGGGAACATGATACAATCTAAAATACATCCACATCAAATAGAGAAATAAGCGTTAGTCAATTGTCCATCTGTGCTCATTTCTTTGGGAGTACACATAAAAAAAAACAAGCTATTTCAGCCAAAAAAAAAAGAAAAAAAGAAAAAAAGAAAAAAGTATGCAATGGCTAAAAACTTATATATTTGTATTCGGGAAAAACAAACCCCTTTCACCAGAAAAATTTATTCTTCAGTAGTATAATAAAATCCATATAAACTTAACAGTCAACCGAAGCAACACAACCTAATAGAAGTGATCTGATTCCCTGAAAGAACATAGAAGCAACTCCATCGAAATTTGAACCTAAAAAATTGATGCATTCGAGAAAAAGAACACATCATTACTCATTCCATGCATCATTTTTCTTAAGGATTAAACAGAAACTCCAAAATATAAGAAGGCTTTGATATCATCCAATGAGCTGACTCATGCAACTTGAACTCAGAATTTAAAACGTTAAAGTTTTTATCTTTTCAAAAAAACAAAATTATTACACCACCAAAAGATTAACGCATTAAATTAATTTTAAAAAATACATAAAAATATTCAGGAACCATAAATTTGATTTTTCTAAAATGTAAATCAGATAAGAAAACCCAACAAACAAAAACGGCAAAATGCAAACAAATGAACGAACACGTCTATTAAAACCCCCAATTCCTAGAACTAAATACCAAAAAAAAAAAAAATCCTGCTTTAAAAAGTACAACACCCCCCCCCCCCCAAGAAAAAAAAAAAAAATCCTGTTTAAAAGTACAACACCCCCCCCCAAAAACCAAAAAAAGAAACAGTTAAGGCGCAGAAATCAACCCCCCCCCCCCAAAAAAAAAAAAAAAACAGTTAAGCGCCAGAAATCAAAAACCTGAAATTTTACACCAAGAATGAGGAGAATAAAGAAAAACAGACTAACCGACGGTGGAGGAGACATCGGTGGAGGTATAATGAGACTTCTTGAGGCGGTGCTTTAGATGAGCTGCGCACCACACAGTCCCTAATGGACCCTTCCGAGCCAGGAATGTCTGCGAGTAGAACATCTTTGAATTTCTGTATGGTATATGCAATGTGATTACAGGGGGAGACACGAATTCGAAGAGAGAGTGCGTAATTAAGGTTTAATTAGACGGGAATTGAACAGACTGCCAAATTGGAGGAGTTGCCGAATTGGCGCGGGAAATGATGGGGGCGCCAAAGCAGATTATGGAAATTCGGGCTATTGGAAAAGACCCCTGAATATTACAATTATTTACTATAATTCTACCATGTCAACCACAGCTGACAAAAACGTAGCCAATAAGCACTAATTGACAAGCCCAACAAGCCCAATCAGTAATTTCCCGAGCCCACAATTTGTTTTCTGATTTAGGGTTTCTTCTCATATATGTATGCTATGGCCGCGTAAACTTCATATCCTTTGAGCTTTGAGCTTCATTTTTGGGGAGTCTGAACCTAAACCCTTAGCTATGGCACCCAAAACTCCCAGGGTTAGCAGGAACCCAGATGAAAACAAAATATAAGTTGATTTAGTATCAATTAAATGCAATTTCTTAAAAGTTAACATTCATCCATAAGGTTAAATATAAAAAGAGTAGAGTAAACTTCTAAAAAGAACAGAAAGGTTAAGTTAAAAAATTAGTGTTTCTCCAAAAAAAAAAAAAAAAAATATGTAGTGTTTCTCCAAAAAAAAAAGAAAAAATAGTGCTTATTTAACAATGGTCCTTTGGTGAGAAAAAAAAAAAAAAAAAAAATAGTGCTTATTACAAGTCCTTTGGTTTAGATTAAATTTTTTGTTTTTCATTTTTTTCTTTAAAAAATATATAAAATCTGTTTGTTTAAACTTATTTAATTTTTTTCATTTGCTTTTAAGAAAACTGTTTTGAAAACAAAAACCGGTTTACAGAATTATTTTCTATTTTTAATTTTACATTTCTCATTTTTTTCATCTTTCTATGATTTATCCTCATAAAATTATTGTTGTTATTATTATTATTATTGTTTTCTCTATCTCTATGAATCTAATGTCATTTGTTTATCCAAAATATAAAAGCTTTTTTTTCTAGCTCTTCTCTATTTAATATTATTTTTATATTTATCATTATTTTTTAAGGAAAATCTCGATTTTTAATCTTGAATTAGTCTATGGAACCATCCTAAAACCCTAAACCCTACCGCTTTATAAGACCTCAGTCCTCGCTCGCCACAATCAAATACTATCAAAACAAAATCGAATCTCTCTCACTTTCTCTGAACCATAATGGCAACAGCAGCGGCAAGAATGATGCTATCCAAAAAAGGCTTGTCGTTCCCGCTCCATCTCTTACGTGGCCCAATCGCCGCCGGTTTGTCTAATACCGTCAACGCGGAAATCAAAATTATTGCGGATCCAAAATTCCAGCTTCAGGTCCCTGTCCCTAATTTCGGCGTCGGCGTTGGCTCTGTTCATGGTACTATGAGTACTTCTTATATAATTAAACCGCCTCAGGAATGGAGATCTGTCGCGCATGAAGAAGTCGATCGGTTGGAGGCTCGTGGCAAGATGGAAAAAGAATCTGATGTCGACGATTTTGACGAAGATGATGATTTCGTTGACGATGATGATGGTTTCAGTACCGATGATCCGAACTGTGATTGGAAAGATTATTCTGATGATGAGGATTATGAATCAGATTCTGATAAAAAGAGAAAAAACAAATGAATGTAAGGTTTTTCCTTTAGTTTTATTATTTTGCCCTTCATGTTGACATTGTTTGAAAACTATTTGATCTGTTCTGATATTTTTTATTTAGAGGTTTTCACCTTAAAAATTTAGAAACTAATTTTAAAATTTTAAAATTAATATTTTAATTGGTTTCTAACCAATTCCAACGTATTGATTAGACAATAAGTTGGTTGATTGAATCATCCAATTCTAAATGATCATATTAAAATAATCAAATGAAGAAAAAAAAAAGACAGACACGGAATGAACCGCTCAAACCAATCAAAACCTATGCAAGTAGAATGTTTTTGCTTTTTTTTTTTTTTTTTTTTTTTTTTTTTTTTTTTGAGTTTGGTTAAATGGAAAGCCAAGGCAAGATATCAGTTGCAGGATTTTTTTAAGAGATGAAGTCCTAAAGAAAATGAGAAAGCAAATTTAAACCCGAGGAGCGGAAGTAGCTGGAGAAAGAAAATTATGGGCTAAAGCAAGGAAAATATTTGTTTAGCCCGAGTTCATGGATAGTTGTATGAAATGAAGAATTCATGGCTTCATTATCTATAGTTACAAATATTTTCGTTCCAACAAAATAATTAATAAGTTTCGGACTCTAATAAATAAATTTTTGTTATATTCAGAGCTTGAAAAATATAATAAATTGTATCTTAAATCTTTTTACCGATATTTAAAATATAGTATTTCCTTAAACAATTTTTTACGTGAAAAACATATTATTTTTCGACATTTGGCTTTACATAAAATATATTTTTAAACATTTGATATAACATTAAAAAATTTAATTTTTCATCATATAAATAATGCATTTACACCTATTATATTATTCATGAACAATCTATATTGAAGATAAATTTAATAATAGAGTTTCTATTTAAAATATATTCTCGTAGTATATATACTGATGATTAATTTAGTCTTATAATGTGATTTAATTTTTTAAATTAAATTATTTAACAACACGATGTATATATGTTAAGATAATTTAATAACATATAAATACTATGATTACTTTAAAGTATATATTTTAACAATATATTTTAAATGGTATGAGCTTTAACATATTTTAAAAATATATATTGTTAAAATAATTTAATGATTATTTTAAAATAATCACGTTGCAAAAAGTATTATGTAAGATATATTTTAAATGGTATAGACTTATCAAAACATTATTTTAAACATTTCTTTAAAAAAAAAAAAAAAAAAAAAGTCACCTTAGCAACATTTTTTACAAATTCCATTTTTTTAAAAAAAAAAAAAAAAAGTCACTTAGCACATTTTTTACAATTCCAAATGATCCACAATTGCATCTCTTCAATAGATAGAGTGTTTGTTGGTGCACCAAAAATACTAGTTTTGGATTACAAAATAAGTTAAAAAAATGTTTTCCCACGTAGATAATGGTAAGTTATTTTTCTTAATTGCTAATTTATTTTTCATTGACCAACAACTTATTTTTCTTGACTTATTTTCTTTCATTATTCCAAATAATGGAAAATATTTATTTTACAAAACAAACGTAGCTTAAGTGTTTTTCTTTTAAGTGTTTTTCTTTTCGTCCCCGTCAAATGCATAAATTCACTGCTAAATTATTAAAAAAAAAAAAATTGATAACCTCAACTTTTATTTGAGTAATTGAACAATTTCAATTTATTAAATTTTACCTATTTAACAATTCATTGTAAAATTATGTTATTGAATACTTTAATTTATAATATTAGATTATTGTTTTAAAAGTTTTACTAATCACACATCAAATTAATATTTTATATGTAAAAGTCAAAAATACAAAAAAATATTATTATTAAAACAAAGGATCCACAATGTTGTTTACATATAAAAACCAAAAATACCAAAAAATTATTATTGTTAAATTAGAGGATCCACGATGTTATAAAAAATTCACAATTTCACGAACATAAAATAGGAGAATTTAGGTTACTATTAATTTTTTTTTAGAAGGAAAATATATATTCTTTGCTCTCCATTAAAAAACACAACATATTTAGGAGGCGTTTGTTTTGGTTGTATTTTTTAGTTTTTTGTTTTTTTATCGTTAAAAGTAAACAAAACTTATTGTTTAAAAGTATTTAAATTTTCTTTTTTAACTTTTTGAAGAAGCGTTTTAAAAACAAAAAATGAGTTTTATAAAACTCTGAATCATGGTTTTCAAAATCATGTTTTCACTTTATATTCCTTTCTTTTAGGATATATCTCCCTTTTTCTAGAATTTATTTTATCTTTATTATAGGTTTTATTTTGATAATTGTATATTAATTTTTATCATCTTCTTCGTCTATATAAATCCAATATTATTTATTTAAATTACTAGAATATCTAATTTCAATTCCATTGGAAATTCCCTATTATTTTTTTTATTTAAATTTAATCTGATTTATTTATTTAAATCGTTCACACCTTATCAATGGTTCTTTTTAAGATATATTATTAACGCATTTTGAAATTTAAAATTTGAAGTATAAATTCTCTTTTATTATTACTATTTCGATATTAAATTAGGGACTTTTGACTCCTTCAATATCACTTAAAATTATTAATATCTAACAAAGATAATAAATTTAATATAAATGATGAATTTGATATACTGAAAATTATAAATAAATTATATTTATATATATTTCGATGTGTTTATGATACTATACAATATTTATATTTGTGTATGTTCCTACGGTATGATAATTTAGAGTAATTTTTAATATTATGAATGAAAAGAAAAGCAAAACAATTTTGATTTAGGTAAAGAAAATAATTTTAAAAAACAAATAATAAAAAATAAAAAACTAGACACAAAAAACTATAGCAAACCTGCCCTTAATTATCCAACAAATTAATATCAACAAGTGGAATAAATAAAAATAATTCATTACGCATACAGAAACCCTAATCCCCTAAACTTAAATCTTCGCCACAAAAATACAATAAGAACAGAAAGCTGCCCACGTTGTCTAATTTCAACCTATACTAACCCCAAATTCAATTTGAAATCCGTAACTGCCCAAAAGAATATACCTTTGCCCTTTTCTTCCCTTTCCTTTGAACCAAGCAGAAAACCCCTGCATAACTCTCTGCTTCCATTTAAAAGAACCGCCTTTCACCATTCTTCCCAATGGATTCTCCAGTAGAAACTCCAACACCAACCCCTCTTTATGAAACCCTAACCCCGCTCTCGCTTCCCGCTCCTAATCAATCACCACCATCCGATCCTCTCGAGCCATACACCGTTTTCCGCAATGAGATTTCTCTCTCATCTGTCAATTGCTCTACCGCGGACTCTGCTGCACCTGATTTCTTCTCTCTTGACGTTGGCGCCGCCGGTGAAGAGGAAGCGGAGCCAAAGACGCCGAGTGGAGTAGTGGAGTCGAATACCCATTCAACTCGAAAATCTAAGCTGCAAACGGCGCCAGAGTCGAGGCTGGAGAGTAGTTGGTTTAGAGGGAATAGTAACTTTAGGAGTCCAATGCTACAGTTACATAAAGGTAAAAATTTGGAGTGAAGATTTTGTTTAGTTGTAAGTACTTTGTTAGAATTTGAGGAATTAGTTATGTTATTTTGAATTCTGATATATTCTGAAAATACACCCTTGTTTGTATAATGGTATCTGGATTTATGATGGCTGAACAATTTTTACTAAGAGATGCTTAAGGTTTAATGTTTAGGAACATGCATATTTAGCTTTTGCTGGCAAGTTGTATTTAGCTTTCGTTGATAAGTTTTGGTGAATGGGACTAAAGCCTGAATTTGTCACTGGATTTTGCAGAGATTGTAGATTTCTGCAATTTTCTCTCTCCTACTCTTGAGGAACAAGCTGCACGCAGTGCAGCAATAAAATGTGTCTTTGATGTTATTAAATACATATGGCCCAATGCCGAGGTGATTCATGTCTATATCTCATTTCAATTTCATAGATGCATCAAGGTAGTGAGTTTATGTTAGTGCTATTTCTTTACAGGTAGATGTTTTTGGTTCGTATAAGACAGGACTTTATCTTCCAACAAGTGATATTGATGTACGTATCATGTGAAATTTGCTAGAAGTTGTATTTTGACAAGTAATCAGCTGCAATGAAGCATTTGAGCATTTGATTTTATTCTATTAACTGTAGGTTGTGATCGTGGGGTCAGGTATAAAAAACCCTCAAATTGGTTTGCATGCTCTTTCCAGGGCATTGTCTCAAAAGGGCATTGCAAAAAAGATACAGGTATACATCCTCTATTGAATGTAATATTATCATGTAACAAGAGATTTTCTTATATTCTTTCTTTAATGTCTCAGGTGATTGCAAAGGCTCGTGTGCCAATTATCAAATTTATAGAAAAACAAAGTGGTTTTTCATTTGATATAAGGTTTTTTTATTTATTTTTTCCCTATCACATCAATTATGCATATTGCTTGTTTCACTTCTTTTGTTGATTAACGTTGTGTTTTGTTAAACATTTTCCGAAGTTGTTTATAGTGACATAGTGAAAGAGTTTAGATCATTTAGTTCTTAACAATTAGGGCTAGAATAGAGTATTTGTTGTTGGAATAATAGAAAATAATTAGGTTTATAGAAACCCTTTAGAATTAAAATTCTGAATTGTGAGAAGACGTACAACATCTAGACTAGGCTATAGTTGTCCTATTTATATAAGTTATTAGGACTCTTGTTATTCCTCATTAATTAGGTAACATACTTAGTTAATTAGGAATCTTTTTTTTTTTTTTTTTTTTTATTAGGTAACATACTTAGTTAATTTAGGAATTCTTTTTTTTTTTTTTTTTTTGTTTAAAAAAAAAAAAGGAAAACTGAAGAGACAAAAAATTGTCCCTATTTTTAATTAACATACTTAATAAATTTTTTTTTTTTTTTTTTTGTTTAAAAAAAAAAAAGGAAAACTGAAGAGACAAAAAATTGTCCTAATTTTAATTAACATACTTAATTAAATAGGAAAATTAAAAGGAGGAAACTAAAAGACTGAAAAAACTGAAGTCCTAATTAATTTGAATGCTCTCGCATCATTCTTCCCCGAGTTAGAAATATCAGCCATCAGAATAGAATATTTGCCTTAAGTCCTCTTTTGAATACGATATGCGTAGAGCTTGTGCATGAGCAAACAGCATCACAAGCATTTCAAATAATCCATTTGACTTTTACTTATTTGCACAAGCCTAAATTAACTAGGTATGTAGCTTGAAGATGTACTTCAATTCCATAAGCGACTTGCATCAAACAATTTGCTTGGTTAGCTAAAGTTGCACTAGGAAGGAGATTAGTTGTATGGCAGACATCTCTTGTTGCTGCAAATTCTTTTGGCAGCTCAATGCTATTGATATCCATAAGCAAATACTTATTTGAAGAACAATGATCTTCATGTGTTTTCTCATCTTCAATGTTCCAATCTTCTTCTTCTAGTAAGAGCCTGTTGAACAACAATGTTTTTTGTCCTTGGGTAGGTACTAGGTCAATTTCTTGCTCTTCCACATTATAATACTTATCATAGATTGGTTCCATAAAGTCCTTGTGTTAACTAGTTTGATTATTAAAACAACAAACTTCTTTCTCCTTGGGATCATCAACATATATCAATATTGTTCTTCTCCAATTGTTACTTTTCTGATCTATGTCAGTAGTGGGATATTCATAAAATTTAGGAATTTGAATAGAAACTTCTAAATTAAGATCAAGAACTCTCATCAACAGCTCTTCTAATTTACTGCATACGTATTGTTCACAAATTATGGGATTATAAAACAAGTTGATATACTTCTCAACATACTTGTGTTTTACTTGGAGAAGTGAAACTTGCCATACAAATTCATTATATAATCAGTAGGCAAAATTTGTTTTTGGAGCTTAGTTTTCATGTGTTCCCAAGTGCTGTTTTTAGGCTTGCCTTGCCATATACATCGCTCTGCAACTTTCTTCCACCATTGAAGTGCATTGCTCTTCAACTTGAGCTTTACAAATAGAGCCTTTGATTATCTGCCATGGGTTTCCATTCAAAGTAATCCTCTAGAATAGCTTCCTAGACCAAATGATCATCTGTATGTAACTTTCCATGAAAACCGCTTCAATCTTCACTTCACCATTCAAATCAAAAGCATTAGTAATCACTCTTCCAATCCACTTCATGCTGCTTGGTTTGCAGGTTTACCTTCATGAAAAGGGTTAACGTCCTCTACTTCCTCTTCAATCTCAAGATTGATGCAGGAGCATCCAAGACTAGTTCAAAAGTTTTCTTTCAGTTTCCTTCTTTATTTAGAATTCTTAATTAAATTAAAGAATTTTAATTAATTAGGAATAATTTTTCAGTTTTACTTAGGATTTAGCTAAGTAGGAATACTATTCAATCTAGGACTCTAAACTAATTAGGAATATTTTTCAGTATAGAATTAGGATTTGTCCTAACTAATATAAATAGGACATCAGCAATTAATTTTAGGATGGTTTTTTTTTTTATTTTTTATTTATTTTTTTTTATCTATGAATTCAGAATTTTAATTCTAAGGGTTTCTTTGAAACCGATATGTTATGTTCCAACCAAAATCATCATACTCTAGCCCTAATTGTTGAGAGTTAATTTCCCCAAAATTCTTCCACTGCGTTAAAGATCCTTTGGAATCTTGAATTCTTGGTTGTTGTCTTTGAATTCTCCATTAAGGCTTCGACAGTTCCTTGCTGTAAGGCTTGCACAGCCTGTGACAAATCCTCATCATTCTTCACATCTCAGCTAATTTTGTTTGTTGAGGCTGGTTGCCTCGACTTTTGTCTCTACCAACTATAGTTTAGAACAAGGAAAGAAGTCCTGGAGTTAGTTTAGGATCTTTTGCACTTTCGATACCATACTGCATGACATAGCTGAAGAGTTCAGAGCAATCGGTTCTCAACAATTAGGGCTAGAATAGATAATTGTGGTTGAGACAATAGAAAATAATTAGTTTTGAAGAAAAAGTTTAGAATTAAAATTCTGAATTGTGAGAAAAAATTACAATATCTAAACTGAGCAATAGTTGTCCTATTTATGCTGGTTAGGGCTATACCAAATCAAAGACTCTTACTAAGCAATAGTTGTCCTATTAATGTACTTAACTAATGAGGAATCTTAAAAGAAAGAAAACTGAAAAGACTTAAAAACTGTCTAATTTAATTAACATATTTCTTTAAATAGGAATATCAAAATAAGGAAAACTAAAAATACAAACAAAACCGAAATCCTAATCGATTTGGATGCTCCTGTATCGGATTGTTTGCCCAAAGTGGTGATATTGTTGTTTTAGTTTGGATACGCCTCATTTCCATTTGTTTTCTCATTTTTTCTTGCAACATTTAAATTCTTCTCAGAATATTCCTGCTATTTATAACAAATCCTGTGAAGAATGACTTTGTTACATTTTGAAGAAACATGGAGACTAGAAAAAGAAGAAAAGCTGACACCTTTCAGATTTTTTGATATAGTCTTGAGTTGTGCTAATTACAGTGGAGTTTCTTATATAGCTTATAGCAAGTTACTGGCTATTTTTGACAACAGCCTTAGTGAACCTACACTTTTAAACCTAAGTAATTGAAGCATTACAGGCTAGACGAGGTTATAGTTTCTTGCTAGTTTTGCTTAATTATCATCTTGTGTGATTATCACAATTATTAACATGAAATGTGATCACATATGGAGAGGCTAACTGGACAGATTTCTCAGTTTGTAACTCATAATACATCAGTCTATTGGAAACTGCAAAAAATGAAAACATATTGAGAATTCGAGAAGATAGGAGATAATCAATTGAACCAGCAGAAGCCATATTGAAAATTTTCTTTGATTGCTATTATTTATTTACTCTAATGCATAAATTACTAATTCCTTTTACTGTTCATGAATGAATCTCTATTCTTTCTTTTCAGAACTTGCATCATATGTAGGGAGTTTTCTAGCGACTTTGTTGCTTGTATCATAGAATGCTTTTGGTTTTGACATCTTGACAACTTGTTTCCCACTATATTTTCTGCTCTGCACATTTTGAGAAGTGATTGTCTCTTTTATCTTTTATCCTTTGAATCACAGTTTTGATGTGGTTAACGGACCAAAAGCTGCCGAATTTATTAAGGTTTGTTATTTATCTTCTCCTGGATCTAGTATCTAGTTCTTGATTATGTGATGCTTTGCTAGAATGAACATATGTTGGTTGGATTGTGGAATGCTCTTGTACGTGAAACAAATACAGCAATGTAAAACAACCTTGTCTAGGAGAGAAGATTGCTCACTGTAAAGTGAGAACAGATACAATTACAGAGAATGTAAAGAACTTTTTAGGATTTTACACGCAGTGGAACCTATGCAATACATGATATGTTGGGATAAATAATGAATCACCATAAAGATTTTATAATATCCGTACAAGTATAACCAACTAGTGTCAATTAGAAATGCTATTTAACCAGTTACATGCTGTAAATAAAATCTATCCAAATCCCAAAATTTGCAGCATAATAATAACTAAATTACCTGATATTCATGCTACCAAGATTGTTTGATTCACTACGTTGTTTACATTGCGGAATGCCAATTTTGGCATCCTAAATTGCTAATGATCTATAATTTGGATGGTACGTCAAAATAAAAAATTGTTTTAGATGCAGCAATATAGCTAACACTGCAATGAATTGATGCTAATCCTTTCCAAAAGAGGCGAGCTGATATGATAATCTCAGGATCGTCTCCTGTGTGTGAGAAAGCTTCATGTTTATATAGTACCTTTTAGGTTATTCTGTTCTTTTTTTTTTTTTCTACTGATGTTTACACTTTTGCTTTCTTCACCACATGGCGATGGGCTTGTGTAAATCAGCCAAGGGAGATAACTTGCAGAATAGGGTTACTTTATAAAAAAAGAGTTATCACTATATGTGTTTTGCAATTCTTAATTTATCATTGTTTGCGGTTGTCTTTTCAGGATGCAGTGTCCAAGTGGCCTGCTCTACGACCATTATGTTTGATCTTGAAAGTGTTTTTACAACAGAGAGAACTTAATGAGGTATGAATTTGTGTAACCATATTATATTAAATTTAACATATTGAACTTATATTATTCTTTATTTCTGCTTGACTGATTCAAGAATCCTTCGAAGTATGTAGGTATACTCTGGGGGCATAGGTTCTTATGCCTTACTTACTATGCTCATGGCAGTGTTAAAGGTAATGAATATAATCTTCAACTTAAAATCTTCAATATAATTTCAGGTTTGTGCATACGTGCATATCACCAGGCTGGTTCTTCTCAACTCCTTTTACTTATGTTGTGACATGCATCATGCATCACCTGTATGCAAGCATCTGGGACTGGAACCTCCAAACAATTGCTACAAAGATCTAATATTAGAACGATAATGAATTTAATATAAAATTATTAACATGCATCAATTTATTCTTGTTCAATGCTTGATAAGTTTGTTTCACAATATATCTTCCTCTTGGGTTTTCTTGGTCATTCATTTACCTAAATTATACATATCCTGTTCAAGAGAAAGATTTGCTTTATGTGCACATCTCAAGATTTCCTTTAATATCCAGTTCAAGTTTGCTTAATATCCAGTTCAAGTTTGATATAATGGTAGAATAATATTGTTGGTATAAGCAATTTAGAGTATCTCAAAGAGTTTTTCGGTTGAGGATTTTTTTTTTTTTTTTAAATTTTTATTCTTTGGTGAGTGGAGAAATCTATCAGGATGATGTCCTATGAGCTAATTGATTCAATTTGAATATTTTCTCTAGTATCAACTTTCTCAATAGCTGCTGCCAATATTAATCTGAAGAAGCTCATTTCATTTGCCACTAGGGAATTATTGGATATAGTCAATCTCTAAACGAGATGCTATAACAAGTATTAGGATTTCTAAATAGAAAAGAAATCCCTACTGATCGAGAAAAGTTTCCTGTTGACCAAAATACACCATTCTTGTTGTGGGATTATTGTCTTTGTCCCTCAGTTTACAAAATGGATAGATTTTTCCTGCTATCCTGTAGATACATCATGAAATTGCTTTTGCCAACGCCATTGTATCATTTTGGTGGAACAATGAAATCAATGAAGAGTCAGGTTGGGAGAGGGATTCAAAGTATTCTATAAATGAAAATGAAATTGAAGTAGGCGTAAAGCAGGGGTGATTGATAAATATATGATACAAGAACATAAAACCTAAGTACCATGAGCTGGGTAGTTGCTGATATCATTAGTAATGTGGCTGATGCTCGGTTTTCTCTATGAGTAGGCTACTTCTGAATGATTTATCATCTAATGCATTTCCAAAGTAAAATTTGCTGGATACTTAACGCTGTACTTTAGATTAATATCCTAAATCTATCTAACAATTGAGACAGTTGATTCATATATCCTATGCCTTTTGAGATGATCCCGGTCCCCCATTTCTTAGTATTCACTATCTTATGGTATTTTCTCTGTAATGTGACGCAACAGAATCTCAGGGAATGTGAAGCTTCTTCAGAACATAATTTGGGAGTCCTTCTGGTATGTTTTCTCGAACAACAAAGTCTTGAATGATATCTTTTTAGTGTTGTGATGAACCAAAACTAGTAAGGATGCAAAGTAATAAAAGAATTAGAGTTTGCAGACAATGATGGTTTATTTAGTATTAGTTTCACCTACTTGAATTAATAGATTTAACCCTTTATTTCGGGACTTAATTAAACAAGCTCTATAGGCTTCTGTATTCTTACTGTGTTGTTTTTGGTGGCAGATACACTTTTTTGACTTTTATGGCCGTAAATTGAACACCACGGATGTTGGTGTGTCTTGCAATGGGACAGGCACCTTCTTTTCAAAGCGTAGGAAAGGGTAAAAAAACAACCTCAACAAGAAACAAAAACTTGAGATGCATCTCATTTTCTTAATTCTTTGACATATTGTTAGGTTATTCAGTTTGTTATGTCATTCCTTTTTACTCTGTTTTAGGTTTATTAACAAGGGACGGCCATTTCTAATTGCCATTGAGGACCCACAGGTCAGCTTGCTGATATGAAATTTTTCCATATCAATTGACTCCTCAGAAATAAAATAGTGGAACTGTGGCCATTAATCTATTTGATTTCTGAATCTCCTTTGCCTGGTTCTGATGGGCTCTGTAGCTAAGAAAGATTCCAAGGTGGGCCCAGGCGCTGGGTCCACCCTTTTCTTACTACTACAATTTACAACCCGCTAATAGGGCAAAAGATTTTATGATTGCTTGATTTGCTTTTACACTGATTATGTATCACTTGCTTTCCCTTTTCTGCTGATTATGGGGCTATTATTTCTGCATTTTGTTGAAGCAGTGTGTTATTGGAATGAGAATGAACTGGTTTATGCAAATGGATGTTGAGCTCTTGCACCTTGAATATGTCCTCATTTGGCTTTCTTTATTGTTGTCTAAAACTCACTCTCTTTTTTTTTTTGTTTTTTTCCTTCTGAATTAGGCTCCGGATAATGATATTGGCAAGAACTCGTTCAATTACTTTCAGGTTTGTCCAAAGTCTTTACTTTCTTTTTTGTTGCTTTTACTTTAATGCACTGGTAATTGAGAACTGTGTGCACGGATGCAAGGTCATTGGTCTATGAGCGGAGGACATGGTCATGTTAAGTTTGAGGTGAAAATTGGCTAGGTCTTTGACTTGCTTCATCTAGCATAACTGAGCTAGTTTTCTTATTTGTTCCATTTAGCATAGCTCAATTATCAATCACATCTCATGGAATATGAATCTGGGGATCCACTTAATCCTTATGTTCTCGAAATTGGATTCAGAGTTTGGATGAAAACCCTTTGTTCTTTGTTACGACAAATTTCATTAACTACTTTTCAAATCCCTGCTGCAGATTAGGTCAGCTTTTTCAATGGCCTATTCAATATTGACAAATCCCAAGACCATCTTAAGTTTAGGTCCAAACAGGAGCATTCTTGGTACCATAATTAGACCAGACCCAATTCTGATGGAGCGTAAAGGAGGACACAATGGGGAGATGACTTTCAATAGCCTACTGCCTGGAGCAGGGGAACCAATACAGTCACATTATGATCACCAACAGGAAATTCTAGGTAACTGGCAGGTAGGGGAAATAGAAGAAGACCTGCCACGGGGAGGTGGAATTGTTGGAGACAGCGGTGCACAGTCTTCTGGAAAGAAGAGGAAATCTTCTTCCAAAGACAAGTCTAGTAAGAAAAAGCAAAATGGAGTTGGTCATGAAGAAATTGGCTCAAGAAAAGAAAGGAAGAAACAACGCTGGAGACATAACCGAAATGTTGCCAATGGATTTAGTAATGATGTTCGTGGATCTCCATGGAGCCATTAGAAGCATTGCCTGCGTGAACTTTGGCATGACTCAGTCTCAGGTGATTATTCATTATCTCCTGTGTGGTTTTCTTATAACCACTAGAATCAGCGACAATTCGCAGATCAAGCTTGCTGTTAATGGTGCCAACACTAGAACTGTGGTAACAGATGTGAATTCCAACTGTCCTCGTGTAAATTTAATGGCAACTTTTTCACTGGCTTTAGAGGACAGCATAAATCTTCATCTTGCTGTTGGATCATCTATGCTTGGTGGATCCGACATTTCTCATTTCCTGATGACCACTTTGTAGTCAACAATTTAGTGGCATGGATTAACTTATTTTTTCTTTGAGTTTTGGAACGTTGAGCATACTACAACAAACAGTCGCGAGGACAAAAAAAAAAAAAAAAAAGGCATGGATTAACTTAATTTTTTCTTTGAGTTTTGGAAACGTTTGAGCATACTACAACAAACAGTCGCGAGGACAAAAAAAAAAAAAAAAAAAAAAAAAAAAAAAAAATGAAGAACCAAGGAAGAAGTAGGACAGTTTTGAATTGAGCAATTTTTTCTTGTATTATTGTCATTAAAGTTAGTGTTTGTAATCATTTGATTGATTTAATGATTAATGCTTCGTTTCAAGTTTGTATGTTTTTGTAATTTTGTGCTTTGTTTTTTTTTTTTCTTTTTTTTTTTAATAAAAAAAGCACATTCTTCTGGTCTTGGCTTTTCTCTTTCAACAATTTTTTGAAATATATTAATAAATCATTTTGTTATGAAAATTCAACTGTAATGCCAATCTGGCTCCTAGATTACTCAAGTGAAAATAAGATGTATTTTTATCGGTATTTATTCTGGGTCTTTTCCTTCCTCCTTAACTGAAACTTTAGTGGTTTTAATCCCTAAGAATTCTAATCCTATGAGTATGAAGGACTATAGCCCCTTTGTAATGTGCTTTATAAGATTGTTTCTAAGGTTTTGGCTAATACACTGACAAATATCTTGCCTAGGATGATTTCAAAAACTTTATCTGCCTTTGTTCTTGGTCGTCTTATTTCAGATAATATCATGGATGCTTTTGAGTCTATTCATGCCATGAGACGTATAACTAGGGGTCATGATAGAGTGGTTGCTTTGAAAATTGATATCAGTGGGTGAATCGGTCATTTTCAAAAAATATGTTGGTAGGTTTAGATTTTTTTGATAAATGGGTCCACTGGATGATGATGTATATTTCAGCTGTTTATTATTCTTTTTTGGTAAATTGTGAAGTAGTAGGTCTTGTTTATCCTGAACGTGAATTCGGCAAGGAGATCCTCTATCTTCATACCTGTATATTATTTCAGGATGCCGCTAGAAGAGGTCGTATTCATGGTTGTAGACCTAATACTAGGTGTCCTCGTGTGTCTCACTTACTTTTTGCTGATGATTCTCTTTTCTTTTTCAAAGCCAATGAGTCTGAATGTCTTAGGGTTAAAGATCTATTATTTCAATATGAAATAGCTTCCGGTCAATCTATAAATTTCCAAAAATCTAGTATAGGTTTTAGCCCTAATGTTTCTAACCATATTAAAAATAGAGTGCATTCTATTTTAAGGGTTCATCATGCTTTAGGAAGTGGTTCTTATTTGGGTCTACCTTCCTTAAGAGGCAGAAGTAAAATAATAGATTTTTGCATATTTGAAGGATAGACTTTAGAAACAGATAAGAGGATTGAAAAATAAATTGTTATCTCGTGCAGGTAGGGATATTCTTCGTAAGTCCATTAGTCAAGCTATTCCTACTTATGCTATGAGTGTTTTCTAATTACCTTTTACTCGTTGTGATGAATTGCAAAAAATAATGAATGCTTATTGGTGGGAAACAAAAAAGAATGAATCTAAGGGTATCCATTGGATGTCTTGGGATAATAAGTGCGATAGAGGTATGGGATTTAGGGATCTTATGTGTTTTAATTTATCCATGTTAGCTAAGCAGGGATGACGTCTTCTAACTACTCCTAATACTCTTCTTTTCAGGATTTACAAAGCTAAATATTATCATTTAGGAGATTTTTTATCGGCTAATTTGGGACAAAATCCAAGCTTTACTTGTAAGAGTGTTCTTAATTGAAGGAATATTTTAAAACAAGGTCTTAGGTGGAGTGTGGGGGATGGTGAGCATATTGTTGTGTGTAGGGACCCTTGATTACCTAAAGATGATACTTTTATGGTAGACAATTCTTTTGGCTTTATAGATCCTGATTTAAGGGTGTGTGACCTTATCATTCCTAATACTAGGATGTTGGATATTAATAAAATTATATAAACATTCTCTATTAGGGATTCTTAGACTATTCATTCAATTCCTTTTTAAGTTTCAGATTGAATCCAGATAAGCTCATATGGTGATCAATTCTTCAAAAGGGTATTTTTAGTGTGTGTTGGTTTAGAAGAGCAGAAAATTAATTGGTTTAAAAGAGCAGACAAATTAAGGAAGAGAAGGAAATTCGCAGAAAAAGAAAAAGCTGCAGATTTGTGAGTGTGAAGAAACAATTAATTTCTTATTAATTCCATTACAGCATAATGTAACATTATAGTAGAGCTAGTCTAAAGTTTGTTCACTAACCTTCCATAAGTCAAGGGAAGGTTGTTCACCAAAACCTACCTAAAAAGCAAGGTAGTTCACCTCACCTACCTCTTGATTTCAACAAAATACAACAAAATCTAAATGACTTTAACAAAATACCTTCAAAAATTGTCAACAACACTTGCATCAATAGCTGTAGCTGTAACTTTAACACTCCTCCTTGATACAAGAGTTGAGACAAACACCAAGTCTATTCCTAAGAAATTCAAATCTTGGTTTTTGCAATGCCTTGGTGAAAATATCCGCTGTTTGGTCTTCAGAATTGCAATGAATAATCTGAATTTCATTTTCCTTTTCAGCTTCACGAATTGCATGATACTTGATTTTGATATGCTTGGTTTTTTGGTTTTTTTCCCATGGAAGATTGATTTTTATACCAATAGCAACAGCTGATTTGTTTGTCAACACCACAAAGTATTTTAGTTGGATTTGTCTTGCTGAAAAATTCAGATCAACTAACACCCATTTCTCAAACCAATATCGCTTGGTTTAACAGCAGCAGATGCTTGCAACAATAGCTCTACTGTTTGCAGTTGATTGAGCAACTGAAACGCTTGCTTTCTTGTTCCCAGCGCAAATACAGCAGAACAGTGAAAACAAAAACCAGTAGTTGCTCCTTCATATCGTCCAAATGAACCAGGCCATCTGTCTGAGAACCAACAACTTCACACCTATTTAATCTTCTAAAACAAACAAATTCAAGCAGTTCTCGCACATATCTCAGAACTCGTTTGGGGCTGCTGTAAGATGGTTTCCAGTTGGGAGAATTCATGAATCTCGACTAGTACAGTAAATTTGTTGCAAACATGATATCTGGTCTTGTTACAGATAAATACAACAAAGAACCAACCATGCTCCTATAAGTTGAAGCATCTATAGAGTGAGAACCATCATCCTTTTGCAATTTTATTCCATGGGCTATAGGTGTACTCACTGGTTTGCATTTGCTAAGTTCAAACCTTTTAAGCAGCTCCCAAGCAAATTTCTTTTGTGAAATAAAAATCACTTGCTCATCTTGAGCAATTTCAATCCCAAGGAAATAGCACATTAAGCCAAGATCATTCATCTCAAAAACCTGCTGCATCTTCAATCTGAATTCTTGAATTAATTGTAAATTGTTACCTGTGACAAGTAGATCGTCAACATACACAGAAACGATAAGCACATCACCTTCCTTGTTGAGTTACGTATAAATGTTGCCTCATTCAAGCTTCGTTATAAACCCAAATTCAGCAAGTAAGATCAAATCTTGGCATACACCAAGGCCCTTGGGCCTGTTTTACAAACATAGGTGCTTTCTTCAACAAACACACTCTATTTGCTTCCATCTTTAAAACCTTCAGGCTGCTTCAATATACACTTCTTGCCTCAAAGAACCATTTAAGAGCCTGATTTCACAATTCCATTGAAAGACTTGCCAACTTCACTTGCTGCTAGTTGCCAAATCAATCTGACGAGTGTCAAATCTTGCAACGGTGCAGGTTTCCCTCTGGGGTAAAAATCAACCCCTTGCTGTTGAGCATAGCCTTTAACACAATCTTGCTTTGGCTATTGATGGAGCCACAGAATTTAATTTCAATTTGAATACCCCATTAGTTTCCAATCACATGCTTATATCAATGGTCCCCTAATGGAATAAAAGTCCATGTTTCGTCTTCAATCATCTTCAATTCCTCCCTCCCATGGCAGCTCCCTCCACTCTAGGCAATTTTAAGGTTTCATCCACCTGAGTTGGTTCAAGTGAGACAACATTACATCTGCTGTAACTTTCCTCTAGGGACTAGTTCCTCTAATTGCAATAATCATCTTCATTTGATTCTTCTCATTGTCACTGGGGAAGTTCTTGCCTTGCTGAAAATAAAGAATTAATTTAGAATTTCTGGTTCCATTTTCTCCAATCCATTCACCTTTCCTCATCGAATTTGACCACTCTCTGACATCACCTGTTAGTAACAGGATTCAGATTCTGTAGGCTTTGGATTCACTGCTGTAGTCCTACTAAAATTCCTTTTTCAGCTCGTTGATCCTAAATTTCCTCTTTTTGCATTTGGAAATAAATGAAATAACATATGCTTCCAAAGATTTTGGAGATGACAACCGATGGTGTAAACTCCAAACCAGCTTTCGAAAAGGAAGTTTTTCCATCAATAGCTTTTGGTTGGAAGCCGATTTTGAAGATATACAGCAGTGTTTACAGCTTCAGCCCAAAGAACTTTGGGTAGATTTTTTTCAAAACAAGAGACCATCTCGCCATATCATCACAGATCGATTTCTTTCTTTTTCACTTACAAACCCATTTGTTGTGTAAGCTACTGTTAATTGATGGTGAATGCCAGCTTCTTGCAAATATTGCTTGATTTGATTGGATGTAAATTCAGCCCCATTATCAGATCTTAAAATCTTGATTGGGGAGCCAACTTGATTCTCTACCATTGATTTAAACTTCAAGAACATTTTGAAAACTTCAGATTTGAATTGGAGGAAATATACCCAGCATAATCTGGTGTAGTCATCAATAAACAATAGAAAATACTTGCTGTCATTGTAAGATGAGACACTCATAGAGCCACACACATCAGTGTGTATTAATTCAAGTTTCATAGAAGCTCTCCATGCTTGATCAGATGGAAATGGTGTTTGGCTGAGTTTGCCTAACTGACATATACTGACAATATTTTCACATATACGCTGTCTTCTTCAACTATAGATGGCAAATCAGCAAACTAACTTCTTTCTTGGATTGTAAGCAATTAAATGAATGAGATTGGTGTGACCAAGTCTCTTATGCCACAAATCAGAATTCTTCTTTATGAACTTCAAGCAAGATGCTTCTTTGAAGTCTCTTAAATTTTAGAGGAAACTTCTCCTCCGTTTCATTTTGACGCAAATAACTTTTGAGCCAAAGGATCACTTATTTCACACAAGTTTTATCTTTTAAATAGCAAACTGTAATTCTTTAATCCAGCAATTGAAACCAACCGAAAACAAGCTTTGATTTAGTTCCGGTAAACGTAAAGAACATCGGAAACAAGCCTTTGTACCTGAAGGATTTGTACAATCACAGATCTCCTTTGCCTTTGGAACATCGAAAACAAGCCTACCATCCTCCAAGTCTGACTTTTGAAGAATAGTTTTTTTTCCAAGCTTATCCGATTCACCGAAGTTTGTGTCATGTGGTTAAGTGTGCAGCCCATATCACAAGCCATGCTCTTTAGCTTCATTGAGACACACATTTTTTCAATTTCATTTACTGCAAATAGTTGTTCTTCATACTTTCAGAATTTTGGTGACTTGTGCCATGATGATGGGCTTGTGTTTGTTTTGATTTCTGGTTTTGTAAGAAACAAAACTTTCTCGGTGTGAACCAAAATTGGCTTAACCATCTTAACATTGAGCTCCCAGGTCTGAACCAGGTAGCATATTCTCGTTGGTTTTGTTTTTTTGCAAATGTGGACAGCGTGGGGAATCTGTCCATTGCCTTCCAATTTTTTTCTGAAATTCTTCTTCATTTTGGTTTTCGTGTCAGTGTTGCTGGCCCCTCATTTGAACCTCCTCTTGCATTTTTTTTGTTTTATGAGTCACAACAAGAGCCTTCCTCTCCAATGGTTTCTTTCTTCTAAGGCTTTTCTTTGTTCCTACAGCTTGTAGAGCATTTGAAAGCACATTCAAGGATATTTGTGACCATGTCCCAAAGTTTCTTTCAGAAAGAAGAAATCTTGGCTTTCAAATTTTTCAGGGAGAGTCACCATAACTTTCTCGCACAATTCTCTTCTCTTCTAACTCCTTCCTCCCACAATCGAATTTGGTTTACATTTTCATACTCCTATCAACATAATTCTTTCACCTTTTCTTTTTTACTCCATTTTCTATAATCATTTCAATATTCTTTCTTTAAGAAGTTGAAGTCTCATGTGTGTTCTGTCTAAGTTTTTTTTAGATTCCAATGATACTCATTTTAACTTCTCCCAAGCTTTCCATGTGCTGTCTCACATGTCATAATCTTGTGAAGATAGATTCTGCAACCAGCTTGCATGAATATTAGGACAAAGCTTTTTGGAGCCACTTAAAAGCAACCTCCTTTTCCTTTTTGCCAAGGTTTTTTATGTCTAATCTGCTGAAGGTGGATTTGATTCAAGAGGTTGGAGTACTGTTCTGTTTTCCCTCCACAATGACTGCCCTATAATGCATATTCCCATTTGTAAATAAGCTCTTCATTCTTCATCAGCTCAAACTATTTGATAGTTTCCCCCCCCTCATTTAAATATGATGGTGTGGAAAGAGACATGCTACTCGGGGATACTCATTTGAGGAAAAGCCAAATAAACAGAAAAACTTCACAAATTCGGTTATTTGTGCTTTTCCTCTCTATGACTTTCACTCAAGACACACATGCAGCAACCCTTTTGAGATCTAAGTTGCTCTGATTAGCCTTTACTTGTTTGGTTTAGTAAGAGCAGAAAATTACAGGAAGAGAAGGATTCTGCAGAAAAAGAAAAAGCTCATAAAAGAAATTTTTGTGAGTGTGAAGAAACATTAAATTTCCTTATTAATTCCATTACAGCATAATGTAAACATTTATATGAGCTAGTCTAAGTTTTGTTCACCAACCCTTCCATAAGGTCAAAGCCCGAAGGTTGTTCACCGGTAACAAATCTACCTAAAAAGCAGGTAGTTCACCTTTGTTCACCAAATCTACCTAAAAGCAAGGTAGTTCACCTACCTCTTGATTTCAACAAAATACAACAAAATCTAAATGACTTTAACAAAATACCTCTAAAAATTGTCAACAACACTTGCATCAATAGCTGTAGCTGTAACTTTAACAGTGTGAAAACCTGTTATTATTTATGCCAAAACGTATTAGAAAGAGTAAGTGACAGTCGATTGAAGTTTTTGGCATAATTCATGGCATGTAAAGGTTTCACCAAAAGCTAAAGAGTTTATGTGGAGAGCTTTAAGAGAAATTTTACCTGCAAAAGCAAATTTATTCACAAAAAGGGTGAATGTGGACATGCTTTGTTGTTTTTGTCATGAGCTGGAAGTTGTTGATCATATTTTGTTGATATGTTTTAAAGCAAGAGACATATGGCATTTTTTTGTATTTCCAAACCCACATTATTCTTGTGCTTTTAAAGCATATTTTGTTAGAATTTTCCAATCTTCTGATCATGAAAGGGTTGCTGAATTTGTTTTCATCGCTTAGAAGCTTTGGTATTTTAGGAACCGATTTCTTTGGCATAATGTTCAGCTTACTACTGCTTAGATTTGCAGCAATATTCGTCTCTCTTTGCAGGATTGGAGGTTGTCTCTTTCTTTGCATACTTCTATACATGTTGCTGCCGTAATGCCTGGTTTGATTTTGCATAGAGATGTTTCTTTGAATAGTAACTCTCACTTTATCCATCAGGATCATATGTTTAATTTTGATTGGCTTGCTTTTGTAGATGGTGCTCTCTTTGCTACTCAGCGTATGTCGGGTTTTGGGGCAATCTTTGAAAGCCAAGAGGGTGTGTTTAAAGTACCTATCTCCAGCAGTTTCAGCATATATGGTGAGGCTATTTTGATAGCGGCTTCGGCCTTACGATCCACTCTTATTTGGGCTGTTGATAATATGCTTGGTTCATGATGTATTTACAGGAATTGTCAATCTTTAGTTCTTGCATTGTCCTCCACTATTTGTGATGTTTTTGATTTAGGTAAGGTTGTGGATGATTGTAAATTGTTTTTAAGACAATGTAATGATATTATAATTCATTGGATTTATAGACAAGCTAATACAGATACTCATAGTTTAGCTAGAGCATCCTATCAATATGTTAGTCTTGTTGTATGAAATAATGTTCCATCTTCTTTGTGTTCTCGTTATTACTGTTAATAAAATTTTTGTTTGGTTTAAAAAAAAAAAAAGATAAATTACCGTTTAATTAATTTTTTAAATAAAGGTAAAATTAGAGTAAGGTAACATTTTACTTTTGAAATATTATAATCCAGTTTTCTTTTAAGTCATTATAATCTAATTCATTACTATTTTTGTTTTGAATCATTAATGGTTTGAAAAATAAATAAACAATCAGTTTTGGTATGTCGGAAAAGAAAACTTTAAATTTGAAATTACTGTAATTATCTATATATCCTTTTAATTAATAACAACCACCGTATCTAATGCTGTTTTTGCTTTTCATTGTAAATGATGTTTAAGCTAAGCCAAATTAAATGTAAGGGTGTTGCTTCAAAAAATATTTTTCTTTTCCATTTAAGTCACACAAAAAATCCCTTTTGGAAAATATGATCAGGGAGGCAACAATTACAAATTCAAAAAGATTTTTTTTTTTTTTAAAAAAAGAAATGTCATGGATACGTGAGCAAAAGGCCAAGTGCCCCTTCTCAATCTTGAATTTTATTTTATTTTTTGGTTAGAAAATGTTGTCAATTTATCATATAGTTCCCTTCACTGTCCAAAATAACACATCAGCATTATACACACCAGCAAAATATATTAAGATTATTCATATTGTGTCATTGGGCTTTTAGTTCAATGCCCCTTTTCAAAAAAAAAAAAAAAAAAAAAACATTGGGCTTTTAGTTCAATCCCTTTTCAAAAAAAAAAAATTTTTAAAAAAAAAAAAAAAAAAAAAACTTGTCATCTAATGTTTGTGCAAGGGGTTTAATATTATTTTTGATTTTTTTTTATCATTCATAATAAAATTAAAAGAAGATACACGATAATCCAAACGGATAGGTCAGTAGCAAAGAGCACTTGTGGGGTTGATTCGTATGACTTAAGTGATAGGTTTAATCCTCCGCAATACAAACTTCTCGTAGCCGGCCCTTTTGCCTCCGGAGATTAGTCAGATTTAATTCATCATACTTAAACAATTGAATTTAAAACAGAAATTCAATCCTAATTCATTAAATTAATGTATCAATCAAAGTAACTCAATTGAGTTTGAAAAAGTAAACGAGGGTAAGAAATTATAAGAATTAATCCTCCCGCTATCACCATCTAATATATATGGATTGGTCAAGTGCTAAGAATTTGTAACTGTATTTATGGTTTTTAATGTTGTAGTTTCTGCTCTGAAATGAGTATATTATGTGTAATTTGAGTATCTTGCATAAATCTTGCAACCAAACAATAGAAAACAAATATCCCTTCTTACATATGTGAAAAGAAATGTTCAACTGTAACATGACAACATTAACACATTTTAAAGCGCAATTTTCCACAATTCACCAAGTCAATGACTAAGAATTTTCTCAAATCTGCTGTATGAATCCCCACTGAGATAATTTTTTAAGTAGAACTCCAAGATTTCAGCAACCATAAATACCACCCATTTAACAAAAAAACGGAATTCAGCAACACAATTTTCACAAGCCATGGAACTCCAAAATCCTATTCTGCCCTTTTTACTCATTTTCCTTGTCGCAAATATTTCAGCTATTTCCTGTTGCCATGACAATGAAAGATTATCTCTACTAAGTTTTAAATCCCATGTCACTGACCCATCAAATCGTTTATCTTCATGGCAGGGCCAAAACTGCTGCACTTGGCATGGAATTCGCTGCTCCACGGAACTCCACATAATCTCCGTTGACCTCAGGAATCCAAATCCACCGACACTTAAAATTAATATGAACTCAGAACTTGTTTCCATGTCCAATTCGACATTTTCTGCTCTCACAGGAACCATCTCCTCTTCTCTTTTTGCTCTTTCTCATATCCGATATCTTGATCTTAGCTTCAACAACTTCAAGTTTTCAAGAATACCTCCTGGAATTGAAAATCTGACTCAGCTTACCTACCTAAACCTGTCAAATGCTATGTTTAGTGATTCCATTACAACACAAATTTCCAACCTTACTTCGCTAGAATGGTTAGACCTTTCATGTTCTTTAGGGGTTACCGATTTCTCATCCATTTCTTATAACTTATCTTCTCAACTAAATGTCCAAGCTGGTGCTGAGTATACTTATATCAATAATGGTTGTTATCTTTCTTCATGGAGTTTGGATTGGTTGCGGGGTCTGCATAAGCTTAAAGGACTGTTTTTGACAGGCTTTGATCTGTCAGAGGCTGCTAAGACTACTCAATGGGCTAATCCTTTATCGGGTCTTCTTAATCTCAGATTCCTTGTGTTGTCCAATTGCAAAATTACAGGGAAAATTCCAATATTTCAGTTTCTCAATCTCACTCAGCTATCTTTTCTGGTAATGGATTTCAATTCTTTGACTTCGGAAATTCCTGTTCAGTTAACTAATTTGACTTCTCTTTTAGCTCTTGATCTTACTAGCTCAAACCTGCAAGGTCCAATTCCTTATCTTCCACAACTTGTAGGACTTCATTTAGGTAAGACTAATCTGACAGTTGATTTAAAATCAATGTTTTCAGTGCCTTGGCCTAAGTTAGAAATTTTAGACATTAGGTCTACACAAGTTATTGGTTCTATTCCACCTTCAATTGGTAATACAACTTCATTAGTCAGTTTCGTAGCCTATAATTGTTTTATAGGGGGCAAAATACCTTCTTCCATGACTAATCTTTCACACATAGAAAGATTGCTGCTTGACTTCAATAGGCTCGTTGGTGAACTTCCACCTTCAATTTCCAACTTGAAAAGCCTTAAAGTACTCTCTTTGATGCAAAATTCTTTACAGGGAAACATTCCGGACTCGATATGTAACATTCCCTCTCTCCAGTATCTTGCTTTGGCAAGTAACAATCTTTCTGGATCTTTACCCGACTGCATTACCCATTTTCCCAATCTTCAAGTCTTGTTTCTTAGTCTAAACTCGTTTACCGGCAATAGGCTCGTTGGTGAACTTCCACCTTCAATTTCCAACTTGAAAAGCCTTAAAGTACTCTCTTTGATGCAAAATTCTTTACAGGGAAACATTCCGGACTCGATATGTAACATTCCCTCTCTCCAGTATCTTGCTTTGGCAAGTAACAATCTTTCTGGATCTTTACCCGACTGCATTACCCATTTTCCCAATCTTCAAGTCTTGTTTCTTAGTCTAAACTCGTTTACCGGAACAATTCAGTCAATGAATTTCTCTAAGACCTCTAATCCATATATTGTAGGTCTAGGTTTTAACAAGCTAACTGTTAAACTAGACCAGCTGCTTTTTCCACCTAACTTCCAGCCTCAAATGTTGGACTTGAGTTCTTGTAACATTTCAGGCGGAATCCCAGATTTCTTTTCTAATTGGGCTAAACTTTCGTTCTTATCTTTGGCATATAACAACTTTTCGGGATTAATTCCTTCTTGGCTGTTCAATCTTCCAAAGCTCAGCTATTTAGATCTTTCTTTTAATAGACTAAAAGGATTTCTACCACCAAAAATTCTGATGAACTCATTTTTTGGTCCAACAACTTTGAACTTAGCAGGAAATTTTCTTGAAGGGCAAATCCCTTCCTTTCTTGAGAATATAGATACCATCGACTTGTCTGGTAACAATTTCACAGGCTACGTTCCACCGCAATTAGGTCTTGGCAATGCAGTATATATATCATTATCTGATAATGAACTTTCTGGTCAAATACCACTTTCATTCTGTCAAGAAAATAATGTATTGATGTTTCTTGATTTATCCAGCAACAACCTGTCCGGTTCTATCCCTAATAGTTTAGGAAATTGTAAATTTCTCACTTTTCTAAATATTGCACAGAATAACTTCAGTAACTCAGTTCCTACAACACTAGCAAATGTGGAAAATCTCAGCTACTTGGACCTCACTGGCAATCGTTTTGAAGGGCTCTTTCCAAGTTTTGAAAAGCTTCAAAATTTGGAAGTACTGAAAATGGGATACAATAAATTTGCTGGCAAGATCCCCCAATTCATTGGAGAACTCAAGAAGCTTCGAATTCTAGTACTCAAATCGAACTCCTTCAATGAATCAATCCCTCAAGAGATAAACAAGCTAGACAGGCTTCAAATTATGGACTTGTCGAACAACAAACTCTCTGGTTTCATTCCTGAGAAACTAAATGGTTTGAGGACATTAGTAAGTCGACCGACAGATGGAAACCTTCTTGGTTATGTTATTTCAGGCGAGTATGCTGGTGTAGAACTGAACATGGCATACAAAGGATTGGTATATCAATTCGATGTGGTTCGAACATACCTTAGTGGAATAGATCTTTCCCTTAATTCTCTGACAGGAAATATTCCTCAAGAAATGACCCTTTTGAAGGGACTTGCAATGCTTAACCTCTCACATAATGCTTTATCTGGAGAGATACCAAGAGGCATTGGAGACATGATTGGGTTGCAATCTTTGGATCTTAGTTTCAATAACTTGAATGGATTTAGTTTCTATAAATCTTTTGGATTCTCTTGGTATTATGAATTTGTCATATAACAATTTGAGAGGGAATATTCCACCAGGGACAAGGTTTGATACGTTGTATGATGATGGTTGGACATACAAAGGGAACAAGTACTTATGTGGTGCTCCTGATGCAATTGCAAATTGCAAGAACCATGTGGACAGCTCTCTTCAAGAAATTGCAAGTGAAGAGAATGGTAAGCAAACGGTGTTGTTTATTGGAACTGTGATTCTTGGCTATATTGTTGGGTTTTGGGGATACTTTGGGGTTTTGAATTTGAAGAAGCAATGGAGGGAGAGGTATTGGATGACAATTGATAAAATTGTATCAAGAATAATTGAATTAGTGTAGAAATGTTCAAACTTTATACTGTTGTGTTTATAGATTTTGTGAAATAGAAGAATATTCATATCTTGTCTTAACAAGTTCAGTATCTACTTAATTAAGCATTAGAGAGGAAGTTCGAATCTGAATTTATTGACAAGCTATAGCTCTGTGTATCATTATTACCTACTTAACTACTTGGTCTTGAGTGACAATGTCAATCTGTAAAAATTAGATTTTTATAAAAAAAAAGTAATTTTAAATCATATAATACTAACACTTATCAATATTATGACAGTTATTAGTTTTCTATAATAGTTTCTTAGAATTCTACTTTCCTTAAAAAGTAATTTTCAAAAAAAAAAAAAAAGAATTCCAGTAATCAGACGCCACCTTAATATTATTTCTAATTTGATACGACAAGTCATGTTTAATTTTAATTTCAATTTTATTATGTTTAAGATTTTTCAGCCAAAATTTACTGGAATAATGAGAAAGAAACAAAAAAATTATTTGTATATTTGATACAATAAAAAAAATCAAATTAAAAATAATAAATTCAAATTTAAATATTTTTCTTTTAATAAAAAATTATAAATAATAAATATTATTTTTTTTTTTTTTTATTCAAATTTAATATATTTTTTCTTTAATAAAAAATTATAAAATAATAAATAATTTATTTTATTATTTTTTTTTTTTTTTGAAAGAGATAAATATTATTATTTTAATTGAATCCATTGGATTGGATGATAAAAAAAGATTGGGAAACTAATTATTCGAGGTACTAAAAATTATTTAAATAGTCTCTCTGTTTTGAACAAATATCCAGGGCGTCACTCACATTTACATCCGTCTCTAAATAGTTCCTGGGAGGCTTTTTTTTCCCGTTAAATGACGAAAATACCCATGGGCAATATGAAAATCATTGACCATTCTCCCCTCTCCGCCACCTTCGCCGGCACCGCCTCCTTTGCCGTCAACATCCCCAACCCTGCCATCTTCACCACCTAAAAAGTCCCCAGAATCAGTAACTCCTCCCACATTATCACCACCACCGCCTCCATCTCTACCTACACCTACACCTACGTCCGTACCTTCACCATCATCGTCTTCATCGTTGTTTGATGTTACTCTGTGTATGGCTGGCTACCTCTGATGCAAATGTATAGATCGGTATTTCTTCACTTCTTCTTTGATGTGTTAAAAGCTTCGAAATTATCTTCATCCCGTTTCTATTTTTCTCTTTCCTTCACCGGCTCATCATCGTCAATTTTTTGTGCCCGATACCAATCATGAAGACCCATCGTCTTCATAGGTCTCTTTCTTCTTGCAAGAAGCTGTATTGAAATGGGTCTCTTGAGCAACCAATAGTCTTGGATATAAAAATTGATATTACCAAATAAATCAATTAGTTGGGGTAAGTTGTAGAAACTGTATTGAAATGGGTCTCTTTGTTCTTGCAAAAAAAAAAAAAAAAGTAACCAGAATAAATCAATTAGTTGGGGGGTAAGTTTTGTAAGGAAACTGGTATTGAAATGGGTCCTCCTTTGGTTCTTGCAAAAGAAAAAAAAAAAAATAGTGAAATGGGGTCCCTTTCAGTTCTTGATTTTTGCAAGTGGAGAACTAATGGAAGTAGTGATCTGAGATTGATATGGTTTTTGTTTATTATTTTTTTTTTTTTACATTTGAAATTTCTTTTGGGTTCATTAATTCTTTGTTGCTAGGGGCTTTCAATCTTTGGTTTGAAACAAGTTTTTGGTTTGTATTACAGATAGCATTTTATTCTTTTCGTTTAAAATTTTTTTTTTTTTTTATTGAAATTCTTTGTTCATATTCTTTGGTGGCTAGGGGCTTCATCTTTGGTTGACAAGTTTTTGTTTGTATTACAGATAGCATTTTATTCTTTTCGTTAGAATATATATGATTTAATCTTTATAATGGAAAATTGTTAAGAGTAAAAGGGAGCCTTCAGTTTACAGAGTCTCATCAAATGCAGAATCAGATTTGCATCCTTTTTTTTTAATTTTTATGTTTCAATTCTTGTTTTATCTTGAGAAATGGGTTTCACTTATGACTGTTTTTCAATCAAAAACATAGAAAGCTAAAAGGATAACTATAAATTTATCATAACCATCCTTTGCTTATCTCTCAAAGCCTTGTGTGAATTATTGGTATTTGTGATTGGGTTGCTAACTGGCTTATTTTCAATTGTTTTGATCTGGATGTTTTTATGTAGAAAGGAGGGCAATAAAAAGCTTGAGGGTAATTCCTGTCATTGTAGAAGATTTCTCTCTCATCTCTTTTGCTTTTTCTTGTATTGTAACGGAAAAACGTAGCTAAAAATGGACGGAGGGCTGTATAGTCTAACGGAGTCAAACTCCAGATATTACTTAAATAATTTTGCTAAACTCCACATATTTTCTGATAGAGACAGAAATTTCTTACTTCTGCTACAGTTTTAATGTTGATTTAACCGTTTTCCGTAATTAAGTACTCAATTTGTTGAACAAAATCTCTAGACGGATTGAAACATAGCCAATGTCAACGTGCTTTTCTTCTTCTTCTTCTTCTTCTTCTTCTTCTTCTGCAAAATCATGGATTGTGCACGGAATTGTGGCTGGAGCTGCAATTGCTGCGGCTATCGGTGCTCATGCTTATCTGGCTAGATCGAGAAATTTTCGAAGTCGGGTTGTCGGTATCATACCCGCCCGTTTCGCTTCTTCTCGATTCCAAGGAAAGCCACTAGTCCAAATTCTTGGGAAACCCATGATTCAGGTACTGATTTGTTTTACTTTCTTTTTCAGTTTTATATTTTACAAGATTGTCAAATTATAATTTCCTCTGCTTTATATGGGAAAAAAATTTAGCCTTAAATTGCTTTCAAGTTTAATGGATTAGAGGCTTCGAACAAGGGAGTTATTACTAGTATCTGTACTGTAAAGGAATGGCTTTTTCAAAGAATTCAGGGATTAATTTAGTTTTCAACTTTTCTCATTTTGTACTGAAGTCCTTTTTCAAATCTGTATTGCGCCAATCTTGTTCATATCAGATATTTGAACCTACATATAGATCTTTGAACCGAACCATGTATTCATCTTATATACAAAATTGATATTATGCGGTTCTTCTAGATTATTTGTTGATAAATGAAATGAATAGGGAAGAAAAATATCTAATCTTTTCCTAGATTAGAAAAGGAAAAAAAAAAAATCGAATATTAGAATCACTTTCTGGACATGCTTAGATAACATAACCAATGGATTTTGTTATGTGTTTTCTGATGCATTTTGTTGATCATTTACAGAGAACTTGGGAAAGGGCCAAATTGGCAACTACATTGGATCACATAGGTAAATTTACTTCCTTGAGATTCATTTATTTATTTGCGCAATGATGCTGAGATTTCTGCTTAATTTTTGAACAATATCTCAACGAATGCATTTCTGAACTGCATAACTGCTAAGGTTCATTATGTTAAGTTAGATCACAATGCTGGACTTGATTAAGGAACCCGGCCAAGAATTTAACCATCTTTCATTGTTGTACTTGTTCATCCTTCTTGTTTAGCATTAAAAGTTTTTTCATTTCTCCATTCCCTGGAAAAGAGAAATATGTATTAAGATGGAAAAGAAAAGAGAAAGAAAAAAAAAGCTTCTGGTGTCAAAACTTCTTGTGTAACTGATTGAATGAGGGATTTGAAGCAAAGAAAGCATAAAGTCTATGAGCTGAATGGTTTCCACTACGTTTTGAGTGTGCTGTGTGTGCTTATACTTCAACATTGGAGTTTTTGCTCAAGTTGATCTCTTGACTTTGGATGACTTCTTCCTTTTGTAACTTTTTTAATCATTTTTTTTAGATTTTTTTTTTTTTTTTTTTTTTTTTTGTTTCCAAACTACGTTTTGTGTGGCTGTGTGTGACTGTATACTTCAACATTTGGGAGTTTGTTGCTCACGATTTGATCTCTTGACTTTGGAATGACTTTCTTCCTTTTTCGTAACTTTTTAATCAATTTTTTTTTAATAGATTTTGTTTTTTTTTTTTTTTTTTTTGAGGGTTGTTAACGCTGGGAGGGGCTTCTGAGTTGAGGGCAGTATGTGGATTTTCGCCATAATTTTTTTTTTTTTTTTTTTTTTTTTTGAGGTTGTTACGTGGGAGGGGGCTTTGGAGTTGAGGGCAGTTGGATTTTCAATTAACCATTAAAAATGCTGAAGGCATCATCCATATGGCTGCAATGTTGTAGTTGACCATGTCTTTGACATGATAAATGTTAATCTAGCATTGTAATTACTCTTTATGGATCTCGGGTTTTGTGTTTGTGCATGTGTGTTAGTATCTTTGGGTTTGTGATTTCTCATTCATAGTTTGTTGCTGATGCAGTGGTCGCAACAGATGATGAAAAGATTGCAGAATGTTGTCGTGGATTTGGAGCAGACGTGATTATGACTTCTGAATCTTGTCGAAATGGTAGGTCATGTGATCATTGCAGGTGTAAATTTTAATTTGATATTGAATTTGCTGATGGCTACAATTTGTATTAGAATACAGGTACAGAAAGATGCAATGAAGCGCTTGGAAAGCTAGAAAAGAAATATGATGTTGTTGTCAATATTCAAGGGGATGAGCCTCTCATTGAACCTGAGATAATAGATGGCATTGTTAAAGCGCTGCAGGTGAATTTCTTTATCCCCACACATATACCTTAAATCCTTGTGAAACGTGACTGACAATTATTTAAACAAATTCATGCTAATTTTTTTCAATCATTTAACATTTGAAAACCAAAGGCTTTTTGGCATATTTTAATCCTGAAGAAAGGAAATAGGGAATGTGTTGTATATCTTATAAAATCTGGTTGAAAATTATTGACATTATCTCATTTATGAAGCTTTTCATTTAAAACATTTGAATGCTTGTTAAAATTTATATGTTGGTGCAGGCAGCCCCAGATGCGGTGTTTAGCACTGCTGTAACATCTTTAAAACCTGAGGATGCATTTGATCCGAATAGAGTGAAATGTGTGGTGGATAATCGAGGTTATGCTATCTATTTTTCAAGGGGGCTCATTCCTTATAACAAGTGAGTTTATGTTACATTTTTATACCAAATATTTTGCTGTCTGTCTTTATTTCCTTGTTCTTTCTTTACTCATTTATTGGGCTTGTTGATTGATACGTTCACCTACTCGATACAGATCAGGAAAAGTCAATCAGCAATTTCCTTATTTGCTTCATCTTGGAATTCAGGTATAAAGATGGCATATTTTCCTCGTTATTTTGTGCCTACATTTTGCGGTCACAAGATTGTTTTGTTTTCATTGTTTGTTAGCTTTTGTTGTTTGGTTATTTTCTGAGCCACTGAGACTGTGACCTTGTGTCTCTAATCAGAGCTATGATGCAAAGTTTCTAAAGATTTATCCAGAACTTGAACCTACTCCTTTGCAATTGGAGGAGGATTTGGAACAGCTTAAAGTCCTTGAGAATGGTTATAAAATGAAGGTATGGTTAATTTCACTTGCCACCCTTCTTTCCTTTGACTGGGTCTTGCTGGTTTTATTTCATATAAAACTATTTCTATAAGTTAAAAATATAACTTTTTGGCCAAAACTTGGGGTCAAATTGATCCAAGGCCCAAATTTTTTATCCTAAAGTTACAAAAATTTTGGGTCTGATTATAAAATGTTTTGGACCTAAATTGAGCATTTATCCCTTTTTTTTTTTTTAATAACTTGAAAAATTACTCCCCCCTCCTCCAGTCCTCCCCCTCCTTCTCCAACAAATAAAAATAAAAACCCAAAACACACATATCCATAGAAAAAAAAAGATGATAACTAAGATTAATGGTGTTTGCTTATAGAAGTGTATTCAAATGCTTGTGCAGGTGATGAAGGTTGATCATGAGGCACATGGTGTTGACACTCCAGATGATGTTGAAAAGATTGAAACTTTGATGCGTGAACGGAATTTGTCTTAGTTCAATTCATTCAATTCTAGTCAGACCATTGATTTTGAGATGGATTATACGAATACTGCTTCCTATACAAGTCTAGGAGAGTGCAAATAGCTGGTATTGATTGCTTGAACCTCCTCATTTATCCCCTTCATCTTTTCTTTGTTTTGGTATCACAAGTGTAATAGCATTAGCACAGTTGAGCTTTGTGAGCTAGGGTGCAATATTCAGCAGTTTGTGATCTTGTGGTGGTCTGTTTAATATCTATGGCCATGCTTATAATTAATAATTTATATATTGTTAGAGCTGTTATGGTTAATGTTGAGAGTAAAAATTGTCATTTAGACAAACTATTATTTGAATTCTCAATGATTGTGTGATAATAGGTGACTTCATTATATATGTTTATTTAGCCTGCTATTGGTCCAACTGCAAATTCAAATTCAAGTCTATCAGTTAATCTTGTCCATTTTTCTATTTTAATAGTTCAATTAACCAAAATTAATTTTCTAAATTAATAGTTTTATATTATTAAATGCACTTGACCAAAATTTCTCGTTGAAAAATCAAAATGGAATTTTACCCGATTCCTTTATTTGTCTTTTAGATTTTTTTTTTTTTTTTTTATCATTCTTTCTAATATTTTATATTTTGTTTTCAAAATTAGAAATTTAAAAAAAAAAAAATACAGACAATTGAAAAAAACAAATGGATGTTTGTGTCCCAATTATCATTATTTATTATTGGTAAAATGTTTCATTTTAATTGTTTAATTAAAAATATTCAATTAAATAGGCTGTATTTTTTTTTTTTTTTTTTTATCATTCTATATTTTTATATTTTGTTTTCAATTAGAAATTTAAAAAAAAAAAAATACAAGACAATTGAAAAAACAAATGGATGTTTGTGTCCAATATCATTATTATTATTGAGTAAAATGTTTCATTTTAATTGTTTAATTAAAATATTCAATTAAATAGGCTTAATTGAGAAAATTTTATCCGTTCAAGGCCATGTTTTGCAAACTTAGCTATTTATTAGAATTTCATCGAATATTAAAAAGAGTAATGTTTTGTTGGAAGGAGTAATATTAAAAAAAAAATTACAATTTGCGCTCTCAAATACCATAAATAATAGAGATAAAGTATACTAAGTTAAAAAGTCGTTACGAATCATGGTCTAAATGCTTATCACTAAAAAATAAAATACAGATATTAATATAATAAAAACTTGCGATTATATAATTATACCTTATTACCTATTCTATCCAATTAACTACATATTTCTTGCTACTGGTCCAAAGTCTAACTAATAAAAACTATAATGCATTAATTATTTTTTAAAGAAATAAAAAGCGATCAAAGGGGCATATAATATAATCTAATATAATATAATCAAAAATATTTTAGTATAAATTAATTAGTAAATAGTCTCATATATTTATGAGGTGGGATTTATTAAGATGATATGAATTGGTCAATTACTATTTTCCTAGATTAACAAGCCTGCGAGTTTAATGATTATGTTAATTGTTTAACTTCGGAGAGCATATGTTATTTAGACACAGCAAATCATGTGGTGGTATGGTTGGTGAGTCAAGGGACGAATTATTCCTGTTATGTACCCTATAGTGTTATTTCAGCCCATAAAAACTTCCAATGAATTAAAAAAATATTAGTTTTACATAAATTTTTTTATTTTTTTAGGGTAGTTAGGCGCAAATTAGAACAAACAAAGAAACGAACCTCCACACTTTTTTCATTGAATATTCTCAATTCAACACCTAATCAAAATATATCTGCTCATATGATCAAGAATGATGAAATGAGCAAAAACTGGATCACTTCAACACATGGGAAGGTCTGAGGGTGGAGGAAGCAGCTTTTGATTGGGAAGCTTTCCATCTAACACAACCCAACCCATCTTCATACCCCAGCTTGTGTGAACTTCCATATGGCAATGCATGAACCATATACCTGTTGGATAAATTCCAGATTAAATTTAACTCAGCAGAATATATAATATAGTGCATGTTAAATTAGTTTAGATTGTAATGAAGCCCAAAAAGAGAGAGCAAAGACAATGTATTACAACTACCAACCTGGATTATCTGCAAGGAATCTTATAGCAACCCAACCTCCAGAAGGTACACCAACGGTGTTCCTTTCAACAGGATCAACAAGATTGAAATTTGCAGGATTTATTTGGATTAAAGTTTCCAAAACCTTGGCCAACAACGAAGAAATTGAAGCCACGCAAATGAAGAGGGTGGCTCTCAGCACCAAGAATACTAGTATCCTGCATAATAAGCTCTACACTTGTATTGAAAGGAAGCACTACAAGCTTTGTTCCTTTGTTAACCATAGTATTATTTGGTGGGTTACCGGTATAATTAAAAGAAAATAATGGAGAGATGGGAAAATCAGAAGTGTAAACACCATTTGATTGACCAAAAAAATGGGATTGGAGGAGAGCTTCAGTTGACATTATAAATTACATATTATTTACTGAAGCTGCGAACATTGTCCCATATGGTCCCTGAAAGGTTTGATTCTGGGGACATGGGTTTGTTCCAAACCCTACTGTAAAGAAAAATTGCCTGTCAATTTTCTGAGGCACATTTGCTGGGTATTGTGCAGTAGCCAAACTACGAAGTTTACTCGTAAATTTTGTCACAAATGAAGTGTCATTAAAGAAGGTAAATTTGGTTTAAAGAGAGGAAGTTTGTTGGTTGATAAGGTAGATTTTGGGGAAGAAGATTCGTATTCTAAAATGGCGGCCACAGTTGAATTATCGAAAGTGCCTAAGCCAGTTACATAAGGTCTAGCAGCCATGAGAAATGTAGCGTTTGGAGATTGGGACTTGGTTTGGAGAAGCACGTTTGTGGTTTGTCCAGGAGATATGATAATGGTTTCAGTATTAAAAGGCTTTACATAAACTGCATCAACTTCAACTACTGTTAGTGTGTGGTTTGCTATACTAAAGAAGAGCTCATCGTTGAGGTCTGCATTGATTATCCGTAGAAGATAGGTCTTGCCAGGATTTACCTTCAACATGAAAGTATCTGCCAACGATGAGGGAGAAATGGTTAATGACAGTTCAATCAGGTATAGATAGACAGGACTTCTAGTTAAGATTGTGGAAAATAAGAGGACTCGGTTCGAGTCCCCTTCTCCAGTGGAATTTTAATTAATTTAAGAAATTATTTACTTACATTTGGGCAGAGTCTGTCTATACACCAAACTAATTAAAAATAATTTTTAAATTGAAAGGAGGGGATTTTTGCCTATTTAGTGGGAAAAAATATAACAATAATAATTTTTTAAAAAACCTCTTTTTGATGTTTGGTATCTGGCTGGTCTCATACATCAGAGATATATATATAAGTATTATATCCAGTGTATTCATAATTCGTTTAACCAAACAAAATTAGGTCAATTTTTTATGTATCCAAATATAAATTTATGGCATTCAAATAATAATCAATTCAAACCAAATTAAATTGATTTGGTTCAATTTGAATTCAGCTATTTCAAACTAAATTAGTCAATTTAGACTTAAAATAAATTCGGTTAGTCATATATTCAAACCGACTGAACGGTAATTTTTCTACAATAATTATCCAAATCAGACCAGATTAAGTCGGTTTAATTCAGTTCTCGATTAGAAACTGAGAATAGGTTAACCCTAGTCTTATCCACAAGAAAGTAACATTTCATACCTTCAGGAGAGCAATTGTATAAAGGCCCTGGAAGCCCATTAATAGTATAGGCATCAGACACATTTGGGCCTCCCCCGGTTTGAAGTGCCTGGTTGATCACTGCTTCTGTGTCTACATTGAACCATTCTCCTGCAATTTTTAAAATAATTGATGTTTCCATGTCAGCAAATTACCTAGTTAGCCATAATAAATGAAAAATAATTACAATAATTGATAATTACCAAAAAGGATAGGCACTTCCTTGTAAGGTTTGACAAATGGGTAAGGAACTCCTAGCTTGGGTAAAATAATTATAGGACCATACACAGTTGATCTAAGCCATGAAATATGAGCATGCCACCAAAGAGTTCCTCTTTGTCCCACAATTGTGTAATTATACACATAACTTTGTCCATTTTGTATTGGGCACTGAGTTATATATGCAGTCCCATCAGCCCACCCAGTTTGGAGTTGTCTAATTCCATGCCTGTCTCAATATTAATTATTGAAATTAATTATAAGCTTAATCAATTAATCCTCAAAAGTCATTTTTTAGTAAAATTTTGAGTTAATTGTATTGGAAGGATTTGAACTACATGGGTAATTACTTATACGGCTAATTACTTAATGATTATCACTTCAATTTATAATTTAAAAATATTTAAATAATCTCTCATAATCTAGGTATTTCGACTGACAAAAAAGCTAGGTATTCCGACTGATAAAAAATTTTAATTGCGTCAAAAGACATTTTAGTATTATAAAAATATAAAATTAAATACTTTTATATAATAAATTAAAATTGATATCTCATTAATTGAGTCATTCCAGTAAAATAAAATTTTTAAAGTTCAATTTGTAAAAGAATTCAATTTTGAATATCACGAGAAATATTATAAATAGGATATACTAATCTCTCATAATCTCATCCTATTCAGAATTTAAATTTTGAGACCTCTCGACGAAGAATCTCAAATTTTAACAATCAAAATGTTCTCTGAACGGTATAATTGTAAGTTAATTAATTAGCTATAAATTAATTAATTGGAGAAATGCAAATACCAATGAATGGAGATATTGTTTTGGACATTGTTAACCACTTTAACGAGAAGATTGTCACCCTCCCTCGCTATAATGCGAGGCCCTGGAAATTGGCCATTTACTGTTACCATGCTCTTGGTGTGGCAAAGGCGTGTCACGTTTTGTAACACAATCTGCAAATACAATAAAATTGAAATAAATTAATAAATGAAAAGGAAAATTTTCCAAGTAATATTAAAAAATTTAATTTTATATATATATATAAAATACATACATCAAACTTGTAGTGCTTTTGTGACGGCGAGTGCAGGTTCAAGATGAAGACATAAGATGATAAATGAAAAAACAAAAATTCTCGAAAATGAAGCTATATATTCTCGAAAGCTATATATATATTTCTTGTTGCCAAACAAGAAACTTAAAATAAAAATTTTTTTTTCTTTCTTTCTTTCTGCAACTCAAGCACCTCTTATATAGTGTGTGTATATATATATATATATTTTACATATAGTGATGGAAGGAGTATATGCATAGTTTAGGTAGCTTGATTAGTTGATTAGGTAACAGAGTCGTATAGTTTAAAAACTGAATATAATACTTAAACAACCTTCCATGTCAATATATTTTTCAGTTTATAACAACTAGAAGTAGAGTGGATTCAAAGACAATTTTATAATTTGGCATCCTTTATTTTCAAAACACCTTCCTTCTCAAAAATAATAATAAGATTAAATATGGCAAGTTATTTCAAAATGTGTTCATAATTGGAAAAAAAATAATTAAGCACATTAAAAAATTGCAAATGTGTGAAAGTTATTTATTAATTCAAATTACAAAATGTGAAAATAGCATCCTAAGACTAACTTTCAAATTCTTAAGCTATATTATTAGATATTGTATAAATTAATAGAATAATTTAATTGATACATATGTCTATAAAGAGTGACTCAAGTGATGAGACATGTTAAGTTGAACAAACAATTTGTGAGGTCAAAAGTTCGACCAATGTTTAGTTTAATTTTTAATATTTAAATGGTGGTTCAGTTTTCATAAATCAAAATCAAAATTTTCTTCGGTTTGATTCGATTTTCATGAAGCTCAAAAATAAATTTTGATAGAAGTAGACTTTGAATATTCAAAAATTTCTATTAGATGATCTTCTGAGATGTGATTCTAACTGAAGAAGTAAATATCGAGCAAGGTTCTCGGTCACAAATGCTGAACAATAATCTTAGACATTAATTACGTGATTGAAAGAATATTTGACTGAGTATTGCTCTATGTTAATCCAAGTAACACTTGACCGATTCTTAATGATTATTCCTATCAAGTCTAATTTTTTTTTCAATTTGGTTTAATTTAGTTTTATATACTATCTAATTCAATCATCATTTAAGACATTTTAGTTTGTTTCATTCCGATTTGGTTTTAAACCAAACTAAACAGTTGCACACCGCTGCAATGATGGGGAGATCAGTCACGAGCAGGGGGCGGAACCAACCCAAAGAGTTAGGTGCCAAAACATAATTTTGCGTAATAGCGGACCGGACTAAAATAATTTTCTTTCAATATTTTTTACACTAAAAATTTATTTTTTTAATAATTGGAGGCTCAGAGCCCCTTTTCTTTCCACATGTGTCCTCGGAATCTCAAGATGAAATTAATTTTATACTCAAAAGTATGGAGATAATCATAGAAAATTAAAATAAAAAAATTAATTAATCATTGATTATTAATTAGAAGCTTAATTTATAAAAAAGTAAATAGTTTCCGCACATGCAATTTAATTACGATAGTTATTTTATGTATTTTTATTGAAAAGTTTTTACTTCATGATGTTAACCCTTCTTAACTGTAATGCTTGGTGATGGTGATAAAGCAAATCATGGTGTTTCTGTCAAAGCCGTCGTTTTACAGTTATATTAAATAATATATGTAATAAATCAATCAAGAAAGTACTGTGTACATCATATGAATCATATCCTCTTTACACTTTCCGCCGTGCACTTCAAAATCCTTCTTTTACGTTCAATTCAAAGAATCCAATTCGGTAACCAACTGCAACTCTGTTTTGAAAAGAAGAATGGAAACCGGCTCAATAGAGAAGTACATGAACCCGCCCTGTGCGTGTTTCACGAACGATCCAAAACTCGTCCCCACCACACAATGCCATGCCGGTCCAAACGCCGAGTCAAATTCCTGAACGCATGTATAAAAGAAACACTAACGATTTTTAACTCGCGATTTCGAGCAAGGTCGCTGGAATTGGGACGGTGATTGGGAGCTGAGTCAAGAAACGATCTTGCACAGCGAAGTGCACGCTCTTGCTTGTGTAGTGGCATATTGGATGATCTCAACCGTACATTCAAGCTAATTGCGATGGCAGCGAGCTCCAGTTCCTCTGTAGGATAACAATCATTTCTGTTCTTAGACGTCTCCATTGAAAGGAGGGGATAAAACAGGGAAGAGAAGAGAAACGGCTTCTTGTTGACTGTTAAAATGGAGGAAAAGTATTTTGTCTCACGAGCACCGACCAATAATGTACTTTCACGTGTGAGGTAGGGGAGCAGTTGTAGTCAACGTTTTCGCCTTGGAAGATTACGCATTGACACGTGTAAAGCGTTTGAAAATTTGGACTGCTCTGAACAACGTTTCAAATTATAGAATTTTTCTTTTCTTTTTCTAATTTTTTTTAAATTATAAGTTGCATATAGGTGGAGTGTAAATTGGTTTGGAACATACTAATTCAAATTGAATTTTAATTTATAATAAAGATTTAAAATAGAATGTATTTTTAAAAATATTAATATATGGAATATGGAATGAAAATATAATAGAAAATTTCATACTTAAATTCATATACCAATTTTTTTATTTTTTTATTATATATTTTAATAATATTATTAAATTTGAGTAAAATATTTTTAAATTTCAATATTAAAAAATTTTCTCATTGCAATTCTAAAACTATGCAATTAATGAAATACTTTAACCCTAGTAGTAATTAGTATCGGTAAAAGTAAAAAAATGAAGTCAACTTAATAAAGTCACAAGTTACACGTTTCTCATAGATCTTTCTTTATTCTTATCAAATAATCAGAAAAATGTATTACCTTTTTCTTTTTTTGTACTTATTAGAAAATTTCTTTGTCAACTTTAAAAATTTTAAAATACTTTTTATTTGAATTGCTCTCTTGAGCTGTTTTTTAATTTATTTTCTCATTTCTCTTTCTAACTTCTTATTTTTAGATTTTATTATATTTTTTATTATTTTGTTACTAATTAAATGGATATATCTTCATTGTTCATCAATGAGCTTGATTTGTAATCATATGAAACATTAATTTTTGTTCTATTGTAATTTAATTGTAATTTTAATATTTATATTTAATTTTAAATAAATATATTATTTATTTCTTATTAATTTAAAATTTATATCTTAAAATATATCATTATAGGCAAGATTTATATTAACCATTGAAAATTTTGGATTTACTGAATTTCAAATTAAATTTTTATAAAATACTGTTGGATGAAATTATAAATTCTAAAAAAAATATTTGAATCGGAATGAAATAAAATTTTAAATTCTAAAATATTTCAAAATTAAATCATTTGAAGTCATTTTATTTCATATTGATCCAATTACATGTAGGAAAAAAAATATCTATTAGGATTAGACCCAGACAAGTATTTTCTTTTTTTTATCTTTTGGTTAGTAAGACAAATATTTTATTATTAAAATGTTAATTTAAACAATTTGTTTGTTTAAATAGTCTGTGAAAATTTCAATTGTTTAAATTCATGTTATAATATTATTACACTTTTAGTTGGGCATATGAAAATGATTATGATAGTGCCACGTCAATTACTTATACATTCTTGTGATTTGGATATTGGACTGGACTACCCAGATCGATACGGAAAATATATTTTAACTTTTGTTTTATTTTTGCTTTTCATTACAACCGTGATTATGCTGTCATTATTAATTATATTTATTAAGTAAATTTTGTTTATTCATAACAAATAATAAAACAGATAATTCTGTCGAATATTATAAAATATAATTTTATTTTCTTTTAAATTTTAGACTCTAGATTTATTATAATTGCTTATTCAATATTTACGGTGTTCGAGAAAATTCATTTGTTTTTTTAGAAGGAAAATTAGTTGTTGGAGCATACAAAGGAAACTACTTGTGATTATTTCTTTCTAATCCTATACATTGGGTACAATTAATTAATTAATTATAAAATGAAACTTTTTCATAATTGTAAAACTAAAAACAAAAAATTTATATGTTAAGAAAATTACAGATTATTACTATATTTTATGAGTGGTGGGTTTAAAAAAGGCCAAAAACCAAAATCTCCTGCTGATATGGCACTGTAAGATTTTGTAACGTAACCAGTAAGATCAAACCACATGGCAAAATTCACGACCGCTTTTCTCATCATCCAATATCCATTTCTTTTAGCAATATTCCAAACGAACTCTAGCCAAATACATACGTCACTCTCTCCCTCTCTCTCGATCTAATCTCCGTTTTTCGCTTCCCTACAAAATTCAATTAAGGAGCTGCAAATTGCGATCATCTGTTTGTTTCCATGGCTACCGTACTTGAATCTCTGACTATTCCTCGCTCCTCTGCTTTGCCTAAACCTACAATTTCTCCTTCCGTCACTGCCTCTTCGATCTCTTATATTAACCGGAGACCGGCAGTTTCCTTACCGGAAGCCAGAGGTCTTAAGGTTAGTTTCAACTCCTCCATGACTCGCTCTTTTGGATGGGCCTCTCAGACTCTGGATCGTTCTAGACTCGCTCGTGGCGCAAGAATCGTGTGCGAGGCGCAGAACACTGCTGTTGAAGGTAGATTCAAGTTTTGATTTTTCTTTTTTTAATTTTAAATTGCTTTGAAAATGTTTAGTCTTACTTTTGATAAAATAATTAAATTAAAGTGTTTTAGTTGCAACTAGTAGGGGACTAATGTTTAAGTGGAGAGTGTGAGTATAAGTATTGATAGGTTTTTAATTGCAATTGCTAGGTAAAGATTGTATAAGCAGATAGTAATTAAGCAGTTTGATGATGATTAAGGCTGTGTTTGGAACTTAAGTTAATACCAATATTAACAAGTATTGTGTGGAAGGATCCCTAATAAGTGGCATAAGAGTTATTTAGATTTGTAGCCTGTAGGCAGGTTTACAAGATTGCATACAAATTGAAAGAGATGATTTAGTGTATCAAGTTTTTTCAAAAGCAAAGAATAAACTAAAATGAAAATTAAGTGAGAATGATCTGATTCCTCATCGTGTTGACAGAACAGAAGTGAATATTTGAATCAAACCTGTTGAGCTTACTTGAAATTTACATTACTCCGTAGTGTTAGTGCTTAAGTTTTGCCAATTGGTGAAGTTACTTTAGATGCATAATGCATAATTATCTCAAACTATTATCTCAGCTCAGTCTCAATCATTATCTCAATCGGGTTGGCTGTAAAACCTAGCATTGATGTGAAAACTAGTTTGTATGTTTCATTTCATATATAAAACTAGTAATGGGTCATCCTTCTTTCAATAAAAGTACATGAAACATAACGTTAATAATTTAATATAACATTATTGCTGGGAAATTGCAGTGCTTGAAGTTACTGAGAAGACGTGGCAGTCACTTGTCCTCGAATCTGAATCCCCTGTCCTGGTCGAATTCTGGGCTCCGTGGTGTGGTCCTTGCCGAATGATTCACCCTGTAATCGATGCACTTGCAGGGGAATACGTTGGAAAGCTTAAGTGCTATAAGCTTAATACTGATGAAAGTCCTGCAATTGCAACTCGATATGGGATCAGAAGCATTCCAACTGTTATGATCTTCAAGAACGGAGAAAAGAAAGATGCGATTATTGGTGCAGTTCCCAAAAGTACATTAACCACCAGCATAGAGAAATTCTTGTGAGAAAGATGGTGAGTGAAGAAGACAGTTTGCTGGAACGAAACTCTTTCTAGGATTTGTTTCTTCTCTCTTTAGCTTAATAGCTTCTAATGCCCTAAGTTGATATGCTTTGCTCCTGTAATAAACTTAGTGTTCCTCTGTATAGTTTAATGGAAACAGCTGCATTTTCTTTATATTTAGAGAACAGATTGTATTAGCTATATCGCTTGCATGATTAACCAGTCATTATAGAGTTCACATTGTCCCAGTTACCCTTCTCTGGTTTGGATTGTGTAGAAACATAAGTTACTGTTGATGTGCTAATCATCAATTACAAAATATTGATTAGATTGGCAACGAATGCTTTTATCTTTCATATGCAAAATATTGATTTCAAGATATTTTTTTTTTGGTATAAAATAGATCGGTGTACCCCAACACCAAAAAGAGGAAAAAAAAATCGTTATGTGGTCTTGATAATCTATTTCTATAGTAAATCTTAATTTTCTATTGTACAAGACGATTGAAATTTCCATAATCCTACCACTTGGAGCACATCATCCATCCTCAATATTTGTTTGTACAAAAGTAATAAAAATAAAATTTACAGATCTCTTAAAATCTTAGATTCACCTAATTAAACACAAGAACTCAAATAAGGCTTCGGCAACCTTCAAAGTCCGTGTTTAAACTTGAACTTCATGACTAAAAAAATTCAGAATCATATACACGTGATGTTGAAACAAAAATAATAGTATCTTAAAAGAATATTTTCCATTAAAATACTAATAACTACATAACAGTTTAACAAATCAATATCTTCTGGCTTACAAGAGGAAAAGAAAACAAGAAACAATTTAGTCTAATCTCTCATGGCCATCCCTAAAATGAAAATATTATGTGGCAGATATGAAAAGCAAATGTTATGTGGTAGATTACGCTGCAAAAACCAGGAATTGCAAATATTATGAGGCAGAGTACCCTGCCAAAAACCCTGAAGAGCAAGTATTATTAGTTTCAGTCACAGGCTCTTCTTGCTCCGTTCTTGATCTCTTGCTCCCACTTGCGGACATGGGAGTGAAAGAATCTGATTTTTCTTTGGTCAAGTTGCCGACGGAGCTAAAATCTCATGGGGTAGATGGGGAAGAAGAGAGATGTTTCTGTGAAATTCCATCGTTAAATAGTAAATGCAGATGAGAGAAGAATGCAAGAAATCAGGGTAGAGATAATGGAGGAGAGGAGAGTTTAGAGAATGAGTTTAGGTTTGAAAGTGAGATGATCGTTTGTCGTAACCAACCTTAAATACATTAGATTAATTTCGGCCATAATAGCTTGGAATCCAACCCTCGCAAGGATTTCCATATGGTCGTGGGAGCGCAGTGCATGACGTGTCGTTTGTAATTATTTAACAAATGTGAATTTTAACAAATTTTATTAGTTAAAACATATTATTGAAAATACAATTTTTTAGGTTAGGGTTCTGTTAACTATCAGAATTGAGAATTGAACAGATTGTGAATTGTTCCTGCTTGGGGTAAATTTGAAATATATATATTGGGTTCAAGAAAAATTTTATTAGGATAAAAAAGAATCCTACGTTATCTGTTAGCTACAGTTTATTTGAGTCTAATATCCCTCAATATATATTTATATATTATTATTTGATCTATTTTATTATTATATATTTTTACTAGTCTCTCAAAAAGAAATTGGTCATTTATGTCTTACACATGTTATAGTTTGGTTAAGTTTGTAAGTGAATTACTTAAACTTGAATGGAAGGATTGCTAGGTTTGAATAGGTGAGCTGCTTAAGTGGGCTACTTAAGTCGGAGTGAGCTGCTTAAGCTCAAACTTATGGACTACTTAAGTCTGAATTCGAATAAGTGAATTGCTTAAGTTCGAATAGGTGGACTGCTTAAGTAGTCCACAATTGATGGACTATTTATAAACCATTTAAGTCCGAGCTGGAGAATTGATTATGTACGAATTGATGGACTGTTTGTGGACCGTTTAAGCCCGAATTGAAGAATTGGTTAAAGTCTGAATTTATTGACATCTATTTGGTTGTACTACATGCTTTTATCATAATACAGAGAATAAAAGTTCAAGCCAACAAACTAATTAATAAAATTGTTTTCTCTTAATTGAAATGTAGAAAATAAATAAATATAGTTAACTTATATGCATATGAGGAAAATTTATTAGCATACAAGGATAAACAAATAGTAAAATAGCTAAAACCAAGGAAGACCCCTTCGTCGTGATCGAATGAGAGTAGATAAGAGGCTCGTGGGATTGAGCCGAGGGGGTTTCATAAATATTATAAGGAAGAGATTTAATAAATATTATAAACTCAAATTGTAGCCATCACTCTTAAATATAGAGATTTTTACAAGTGGAAAAGAGTACATAGTAATCGAATTTATTTGTCATTTTTCTTTTTTTTCTGATACTTGATATACTCAGCTTTTATTAAATAATATAATTATATGCATAGCTCCAAATAAATAAATAATACATTCTCCTAATAATCAAATTTATTTTGTCGTAATAATATCCAACTTCTTTTTAGTCAATATGGATATATTCTTCAGGTTAAATTTCAGCATTAATTTTTTATTTTTATGATCACATCCTAAAATAATTTTAATACTATGAACACTACCACGTAATCAACTCATAAATTGCTCTTCCTCTCAAAAAATAAAACAACTTTATTTAAGCTATCACAATTGCATTTTCATTCAGAAATTATTGAGGGAGAAAATTATCACAATTTGCATATAGGAATATAATTGTGTAACGCTCATAGGCTAGAGGGTTCAACTAGTAATAGTTAGAAAACATGGATTTTCAATTTATAGTACTGCCCACAAAATATTAATCAACATGATTAATAGATCAAATTTGGGATATGTTTTTGTAAAAACTGTTAAATGACAAGTAGATTAGACATTATAAAGTGAAACAATTAATTCAGTTACACATATAATTAATAGTAATGATTAATGTTGCTAACCCCCCCCCGGGAGAAAATTATCACAATTTGCATATAGGAAATATATATTGTGTAAACGCTTCATAGGCTAAGAGGGTTCAATCTAGTAAATAGTTTAGAAAACATGGATTTTCAATTTATAAGTACTGCCCACAAATATTAATTCAACATGATTAATTAGATCAAATTTGAGGAATATGTTTTTGGTAAAAACTGTTAAATGGACAAGTAGATTAGACATTATAAAAGTGAAACTAATTAATTCAGTTACACCATATATATTATAGTAATGATTAAATGTTGCTCCCCCCCCCCCCTATATATATTGTCTAATCTTCACATATAAAGTAGGAAATGGTTTGATTTAAACATCTAATTTGACATAATAAAATAATTCAAGCTTAATCAGTTACCAAATTATATATAAAAAGGAATTTAATTTTTATCAAGGCAGCCAACTATTTCTCATTTGATATCTTTTAAACTCCCACAAGAAACAAATAAATTTTATGGACAAAGTTAAGATGAACAAATATTTCTTTCTTTAATGAGATATTGGACGCTATTGGTTTTAAAAATAAAATATGAACATATTGAATACTGAGCTTAAGTATTGAACATATTGAATACTGAGCTTAAGTATGAATCATTATCCAATCCATAAGAAACTCCTATCATATTTATAAAGTATTTAAGCTCAATTTATTTAATTTATGTCCAATTTAGTTTTGATCATAAGATAAAAACCCATTAAATAGATAGAAATATATTTCAAAAATAAATCTTCTTAAAAGTAGGATATGGAGCATACCTTTTTGTTGAATAGTAGCAAGAGGAATACACATTTTCTTCATAATATGTAAAAGTTGTTGCTAACTTTTACTGCAGTTTTCTTTTCCATCATTGAATCATACCAAGGTCTTATATATATGTATATGTATATAATAAATTGTAACGATAAAATCACAAAGCAGTCTAATTGTATATCAAATAAGAATATCTTGATTACTGAACAATGTTATTGGGCTAGCTGAAATACCAAATAAAATAACAAAGCTTAGTTTTCTACCTTTCCAATATCCAATAAAACTTTATATAGTTAACACTTTTTTTTTTTTTTTTTTTTTTATTTCTTTTAGTTTTTTTTTTTTTTTTTTTTTTTTTTCAATTCTTTTAGTTTTTACTTTCTTACTCTCTAGATTGTTGCTTTATATTCATTTATTGTTTAAATTGAATTATTATTAGTGACTTTGTAAGCATGTTCCTCTGCATGACCAATGGGTTTAAGGATATCCTATAGTCAAAATTATAATTTTTGCACTTAGCTGATGATTTACTTAGAAGGTATTAGTCTATATGATGTTGGATACTAATCTCACAAAAGGTACACTTTTGTATCTCTGTCTTGCTTTCAATTATTCACGTGCAACAATATGCAGTTTCTCTTGCCTAGTTGTGTCCATATGCTAGCATATATTATTTCAAGTAATTCCTTTTTCAATGGAGAACTAATGCCTCTTATGAATATATCCAAGGAACAATGGAGGGGATAAAAAAAAGGAAAAGAAAATAACACAAGAAAGAAAAAGAAAAACCGAATTAAAAACGGCTTCAACTAGCACAGGAAACACATCATCCAATTTTTGAAGTTTTAATATTAATTAAATCATTCCTTATCCAAGAAGTAAATATTCACTTACCTCATAACCGGTGTTCTCTCCGCAAGGAAACATAGTCCCACTACCTGAGAATCAAAAATCGTCCCCTCCAAGCCCAAAACTTTTCTACCGTATATATATCTTCTTTAAAAATAAAAGGTCTATATGTATGTCTTTTTAAAAATAAAAGGTAGCTCCTATTTGATAGAGTATAAAAAGGTGTGTTCCATTCTCACCGCACCATTTGTTAATTATCAAAATTAAGAATTGAGTAAATTGTGAATTGTTCCCTGCTTGGAGTAAATTTGGGATATATATATTGGGTTCAAGATAAATTCTATTAGGGTAAGAAATTTGAGAATCATACATTATCTGTTAATTAGAGTTTATTTGAGAGTCTAATATCCCTTAATTTATATTTATATATTATTATTTAATCTATTTTATTATTATATATTTTCAGTAGTCCCCAAAATGAAGTTGATCATTTATATCCAACACATGCTATAAGGAACAATTCACAATTTATTCAATTCTCAATTCTAATAGTTAACCGGTACAAATGTGGAAAAAACTTTTGTGGGAATATAAATTCATATTGCATTTTTTTTTTCTACACAATCAATCTATTATTTTGGAATTATAACAATATATATTACTTTTTTATAGTACATGACTGTTATAAATTGATAATTTTATTTAGTAAAATTTAAAAATTCATCGCTACTCCATTATTTGTATTTCAATAGTTTATTTGCTTTCACTATTAAAAGTACGTTGAATACCCATTAACCTATAGATTTTGTTTATTTTGTTAACTTTTATTATTACTATTGAAATTATGCTTTCAATGTTTATTTTCTAAAAGCCAATTCCTGAATATATGAGAAAATAAATAAATTACTTTAATTCTTAATTTATATTTCTGGATAATTAATTATATTTATGTACTTACAATTTTTAATTGGGTTATTATCAATTTTTCTTTTTATTGCTTTGAATAGAAGCTTATTCAAAATTTATCCATATGACTTAGAAAACAATATATTACATAACATAAATATACATAACACTGTTACGTTTGCTTTATTATTTGAATATAATAAAAAGGTATTTTTAAAAAAATCAATTTCCAATCTAAAATGTCCAATTAAATATAAAATAGTTTTATGTCAAATGTACATCAACATTCATCTTAATTTGATATTGATGTAATTTTTTGTGCTATCAATAATATTCCTTAACAATTGTAATTAATTTTTCAAATTCTCTAAATTTGTGTTTATATATAAATTGTTATAATCTTAAGTCTAACAATTTATACATTCAAATTTTAATTTATGTTCACCCTCATAAGTCGGTCTAATTTAGTTTTTATTATAATTATAATTATGTATTTTCCATCAAAAATAATTAGTTTTGTTTAGAATTTATTTTGATAAAAATAAAATTTTTTAATAAAAAAATTTAAAATTTAAAATTATTATATTCAATTTTTGAATATTCTAATATCTTTATTTAAATTCTATAGAAAATAATATGAATATGTAAGAAAACCAAATTATATTAAATCGAAATAATATGAATAATGTAAGAAACCAAATTATAATTAAATATTTATTCAATTATCATTATATTTATTATTCATTATTATTATTTCAATATTTTTATGAAAATTAAAATTATGATTAAATATAAGTCTTGATAATAAAAAAATATAAAATAATTAATGTCTACCTATTTATACTATATATAAATTTAGAAATATATATCTATCTATAGTATGCTATGTATAAATATGAGAATGTGGTAGGAAAATAATGAGATTTATGATATAATCTTTGTGAAATTTAAGATATTTTAAAATAACTTTAATAATAGCAAATTAAAAATTTTAACATAAAAATATATGTAATATCTCTATAATTTAATTGGATATGTTTTTAACTTTTTTTTTTAATATATAAATACATAGAGATAATTTAGAATTTCGAAATTTAAAATTTTATTATTATTATCTTATTATTTTAATTATCTTTATTTCATTCTATTATTATATAAATTATTAACAATAATTTAATCCTTTAAAAAAATTTAATAATTTAAATAATTTATTGTTTTTATTTTTATTTACTATTATTATAATTTATCTTCATTATTATCATTTTAATAAATATATGTAAAAATGAGGTATTTAAAAATTTTTACATTTTTTGAATTTATAACATTTTTTGATTTATTTTAAAACAAATATATCTAGAATAATTCAATTTATTTACTATTATTATAATTTATCTTCATTATTATCATTTTAATAAATATATGTAAAAATGAGGTATTTAAAAATTTTTACATTTTTTGAATTTATTTTAAACAAATATATCTAGATAATTCAAAATTTAATTTAAAAATAGTATGGTTAAATTTCTTTAATTATAAATTGCACTCTAATTTGGTTGACAAAAAATAAGATAAAATATTATTATTTTTAAATATAGTTATATTGATATCTTATTAATTCAAATCTCATTTTTTTTAGTAAGGAATATAACTTTATAATAATTTTTTAAAATAATTTCATGATTTTGGTTGGCTAAAAAATAAAAATTATTATTATTTGTAAATATTTAATTTGATTTAATAGATTGATTTCTTATTCCATTGTTAAAGTATATTTATTTATTAAAAGAGATTACAGAAAAAATTATTAATAAAACATATAAATTAATTATAAAATTTAAAATAAAAGCTCTATGATAATTTTTATAAATCAATTTGGTACTTAACCAGAAAATGAAAGTAATATATAGTTAAAACTATATGAACCAATATATTGAAAAGAATACAAATGACATATTTCATATTTAAATTACTATTTTAACGGAAAAAAATAATTATATTAAATTTTTTTCAATGAGATATTACAGTGCAAGATGTATAATTAAAAAAAAATATTTTACAATATACATAAAATGTAATATTATTTAACCATTGTATTTATTATAATCTAAATAAGCATTTATATTTTAATATTATATAAATAAAAAAGTTAATCGAATGCAATGTATGGCATAGTTAACATGCATCACATGCCATAAAAATAACAGAGAAAACGAAATTATGAAATCTCAAACAATTTCCAGGAAACGATGTCGTATAAGCCCCTACCAGTTCCTCCAAGTTCCAGGAAATTTATACAAATCCAACCTCCCATCTTCTGCCGAGACTAAAACGCACAGCGCCGGCATCGCTAGAGAAGGCGGAAAAGAATTAAGAGGAGATAGAGACGATAGTGAACTGCTAAGAGCGAAAAACGGAAGAATAAGAAGGTAAACAAAAAGCTCAACTCTTTTTTCATATTCAGATTTGGAATTTGTTGTTAAAGATTACGTCTTTGAATGTTTCTGCAGCTTAACATTCTCTTTAATTTCGGTTCATTGCCTTACTCACCTCACAAAAGCAATAATAATGAAAACCTAAATTCGGGCTAATCAATAATGGTGGCTAAAACAGATGATTTTGTTTTAGGGTCTTAATCTTGTGGTTTTGGGAATTGGGAGTTTCTACTGTTTTGAGCTTTCTGAATCTTCTTCTTTTGAACGCCTTTGTAACGATATTTTTTTTTAAAGTACGGAGAGTAAGAATTCTGAGGCTCTAATGGAATTAAATTTAATTCTTTTTTAGTTTCTCTCTTAAAACAACACTTGTTTCTGTTGCTTGACTTCTTTTCCTTGTGACTTCTGTGTGCTTAACAAATTTAATCAGAACCAGTCAGGCAGGAAGTCTATGTATACTGTTATATTGGGATCCAATTTTTTTTAATACAAAATTTGGTATAAATTGATATTGGTTCTCTCATTAACAGCTTGCTTGGCATGAATGAATCCTACAAGCTATGTAATTTGGTGAATGAACAGTTTATATGTGCATATAGGTAATGGAGGAGGACTTGACACGCCGTTGTCATGAAGAGGATCAAGAAGAAGAATATGTAGTGCTTGATCTTGATGCTATTTCTGGGCAAGTTGACATTCCTCCAGATGCACCTTATGTTCTATCTGTATGTTTTTAATCCCTACAATGTGCAGCTCCTAGATATGTTTCAATTTGTTTGTTTAACAATACCATATATATCTTGCAGCTACTGATCTGAATTGAGAGGTTGACATTGTTTAGGTTTTGATAAGGAATTAATTGCCAAGGCTATTTACATTTTTTATACTAGCTGCTTCTCTGCATGTTGCATGTAATCTTTGTTTAATTAAAATGGAGGATGATGGCTTCTATAATTTTTTCTGCCTTTTTTTTTTTTTCCTTAAATATGACCTCCATCTGCCTTTTCATTGCCATTTATCATTTCCTTATTAGTTAAACAGGTTCCATTACTTTCTAGTCGAGAATTTTCATTTTCTTTTGTTCTGCTGCTTTTTGGCCTGTAGGGTCTCGACACTTTAAATCCGACACTGATAATAGATGGCAAATTGAAGCTGGTGAGTTGTCAGCTGTGTAGCAGATGTTCTTTCTGGTTATAAAACTTTTGTGCTCACATTGTATTTTAGCGCATGCAATTTTTCATGAAATTTTTCTTAGTTGGGTGGGAAACTAACAAGACTGATACATGGTTTATGAATTTAAGTTCTCGTGGTTAATGCTCTTTTTTTCTCACAGATTGGAGAATATGAAGAAACAATAGGAACATGTTTGGTTTTCTCTGAAGACGGTAAGCTCATTTGCTTTTCTTCTTGATAGAAATAAAGTAATGAAGCCAGGAAAATTGACTCACTTGAACTGATAAATAAATCCGACTTATCTCGACATAACTTTCTCCTGCATAATAAGCTTTATGCTCTGACAACTAAGGGGACTGGAGAAGTCTAAGATTTGGCCTTTCAGTTGATTGTTATAGCAATTAAAATAGACATTCAATCGTTCTATTGCATAAAATAAGCTGGAACTTCACCAAATTTGCAAATCCTCTTGTTCATCTATTTTGTGAGTGCAGAGTATATGTATATTCTCTATTAACTTAAGCTGGTCCTAGCTGTGGCATAGGACTACTTACGCATCTCAAATGTATAAGAGCAAAAAGGAATTACCTTTGCCTCCCATTTACATGTAATTTTTTTTCATAGCTTTGCCAATTACTGTTGGACTTCCCATTATGTTCAATATATATTACTGCGTTGCATCCAAATCCTGCTATTTTTGCAAAAATATTTTTTATTTATTCCATGATTATGTATGAACCTTTGCTTAGGAACTTGTTGTAGTGTCATGTATTTTCAGAAGGTCCTCCGGTGGTTCATGAAGAGACAGGGCCATCAGAAGTAAACCTTTTCTCAGGAAAATACATAATAGATTCAAATCAAGCTCCAAGTAAGCAAGTGAGGCCTGTTGCTCGCCTTCATAAGATCCTGAAGTTTAGATTGTTGTTGGATGATGGCCAAGACGCTGCAGTTGAGGAGAATACATAAGATTTGTTTACTGTTATCTGAGGTTTTTGTATCTGTTTTCCAACAGCCTAGTTTGATAAGGTTAGTTATTGAGAAAAAACATGCATAAGGTAGAAAATGTACATAACAGTTAGATTTTGATCTTACGGTATTTGTTCATAATTATTTGGGTCTTAATTTTATTCATTTTGGATATATAGATTTTGATCTTTTACGGTATTTGTTCATAATTATTTGGGTCTTAATTTTATTTCCATTTTGGATAATATATATATATATATATATATATATACTATATAATATATATAATATATATATATACTATATATTATATATATATTATATATATGTCCCATAAATCTATATTTAAAAGAATATCTGTACTGAAAATTCTGTTTAGCTAAATTTCAATTGCCTTCTCCTCTAACACATGGCTCCATTCCTGTCTCCAGGCCTGAAGACTTGAAGTTATTCTTTATTTTTTTTCTAATTCCAATTATTTTTAACAAAAATTAAAAATGGATTAACAAATGGTTTTGAAGATGGCTTCAAAGTTCAAACCATTTGGTAGAAAAAAAAACCTAAAATTTAAAATTGGGGCCACGCATTTTCCTTAGAAGTATGTTAGAAAAATGTAATTAAGCTTACTAGAATGGGCAAATCTCTTACCTCTTGGGCAATTTCGATGGTGCACTGAACTTCTTACATCAAAAAGCACCTTTCGATCACCAATTCCAACTAGCTAGCTAGTTAAGTTAAACACTCCAGGCAATTGATTACAAAATTTAGTTATGCAAAGATGGAAACACTTTCTTAAACATTACGTGATTAAATTACATTAATCTTTAATTCTCTTGTATTCTATTTGATATAAATGAATTCAAAATATGAAATTTATTTGTAAATTAATTTTATGTTTGATATGATTAATTTAAAACATGCAATGCAATCGAACTTCACGTAATCATATTACAATAAATTTACAATTGAAAATTTATTTGTCTTTTATTTTTTAAATATTCTTGAAATAGTAATTTTACAAAAATAAATAATAGATACCAATTATATTTACGTTATGTTGTATAATTTTTATATTTTGATTAAAATAAATATATAAAATAAATGGATATTTAACTTGAATTTTTCTCTTTCCTAGATAGTTAAAAAATGCTAAAAAATAATAAAATAAAAGATGAAAAATATTAAAATAAAAAATACAATAATAAAAAAATATTTTCCAAAAAAAATAAAATTTTTAAGTAGTTTTGGTCAAGTTTGATAAAATAAATAAGTTAAATAAGTAAAAAATTGAAACATTCAAGGAGAATGATAGTTTTTTTTTGTAAAGAGTTGGATTTCTTCGTGACATCCCAGGTTTGGGGCACAACACCTTAGGCGAATCCCACATCGACTACGCACAAGGTGGAAGTCCTATACATAAAGGGTGGCAACTCCTTATACACTACAAGGGTGGCAACCTTGAAGTCCTATACATAAAGGGTGGCAACCTTGAACTAGTGTGACGCGTTTTGGGCTGGCAGAGCGGAGGTTTCCCTGGCCCAGAAACAAAACCGTGAGGGTTTAGGCCAGGTTTGGCACCCAAAGCGGACAATATCACACTAGGGCTGGGTTGTTTCATTCTTTTTTATAGACTTTACTTGGAAATTCGATCTATTTTTGTAGAATTTGGAAATTTCACCTATTCATATGGAAATATTAGGATTGGATGCCACTAAACTCTTCTGTATGCAGGTTAGTCACTCTTTTACTTAGCAATCTCCTATATAAACCACATGGTCTCTCAGCAATTTTTCATCCAACACAAAAACTACTTTGATTTCTCAGTAATGATGGACTCATCAATCATGGAAGTCATTGTTATTCCCTTTGCCATCCTATTGATCATCGCTCTTTCACTCATCGTCTGCAAGCACCAAATTTCCAACACCTTCGACATTAAGAATCTCCCTCCTGGGAATACCGGTTGGCCTCTCATCGGTGAAAGCATAGGATTCTTGACCACAGGTCGAAAGGGTCAGCTTGAGAAGTTCATATTCGATCGAATGTCAAAGTACTCGAACAAAGTTTTTAAGACATCATTGTTCTGCGAACCAGCGGCAGTGTTTTGTGGAGTAGCCGGAAATAATTTCTTGTTCTCCAATGAGAACAAACTGGTGACCGTATGGTGGCCCAGCTTTGTGAACAAAATCTTCCCTTCCTCTAAATAAACATCATCGCAAGAGGAATCCATAAGAATGAGAAAGCTTCTTCTGTAATTTCTGAAGGCAGAAGCACTCCAGAGATATATTGGTATAATGGAAGTAGTTGCACAAAGACATTTCGCATTCGACTGGGATAACAAACGGCAAGTGACTGTTTTCCCTCTGGCAAAGATGTACACTTTCTCGTTAGCTTGCAGGCTTTTTCTCAGCATGGAAGATCGAGAGCAAGTGGAAAAGTTGGCCAAGTCATTCGATTTTTTGGCATCTGCCTTTATAGCAATACCAATAGATTTGCCAGGAACATCTTTCAACAGAGGGATCAAGGCCTCCAATTTGGTTCGAAAAGAGCTGTTAAAGATTATAAAGCAAAGAAAGACTGATCCAGCAGAGAACAAGGCATCCCAAACACCAGATATATTGTCTCACATGCTAACCACAGTAGATGACAAGGGGCAGTTCATGAGTGAAATGGAAATAGCAGATAAAATTCTTGGATTGCTTATTGGAGGCCACGATACAGCCAGTTCTGCCATTACTTTCGTTGTCAAGTATCTGGCAGAGATGCCTCAAGTATATGAGAAGGCCTTGGAGGGTAAGCAATCTTCAAGTTTCAAAGTAATTGATTAATATTATTATTAATTATATATATGCGGGTTTTAAATTTTGTATGCTTAATTTTCAGAACAAATGGGAATTGCAAAATCAAAAGTAGCAGGAGAACTATTAAATTGGGAAGACATACAAAAGATGAAATATTCATGGAAAGTAGCATGTGAAGTTATGAGACTTGCACCTCCTCTTCAAGGAGCCTTCAGAGAGGCCATCACAGACTTCACCTATGCTGATTGTACCATTCCTAAGGGATGGAAGCTTTACTGGAGTGCCAATTCCACACACAGAAACCCTGAACGTTTCCCTGACCCTGAAAAATTCGACCCATCAAGGTTCGATGGGCTTGGACCTGCACCTTACACTTTTGTTCCTTTTGGAGGAGGGCCAAGGATGTGCCTGTTGGGATTATAACTTATCCCGAGTGGGGCCGTAAATGCCAGATGAAAAATAAGAACACCAAGATTTACGTGGTTCACCCTTCAACTGTTATTGGCTACGTCCACGGGACAAAAACTGTGGTTCACCCTCAACTGTTATTGGCTACGTCCACGGGGACAAAACCTTCCGAATAATTCTTCTACTAAAAATAGTAAGATACAAAAAGATTACAAAAAATAGTGGCACTCTAAAGTTTCCCAAAAACAACCAAAATTACAAATCCTCACTATTTTCTCTCTTTCCATTTTTAAGGAACCCTTTCCCTAAAATTATAATCTTCGTTTTTTTTTTTTTGTTTTTTTTTTTGTACACTTTGAAGTGAAAATCCTTCTCCTTTTTATAGGAGAAGGGACGCGTGGACGCGTTAAATCACGCGTCCAATTTTCCTTTTTTTTTTTTTCTTCTTTGTTCGGCAGTCTCTCTTTGACTTGCCACCTCAACAACAAAAAACGTGTTTTATATATATATATATTTTTTTCTCTTCTTTTCAAAATGTATGTGGGTCCCATAGGTCGAAGGGACCCCACAACAATTCTCCCCTCCCCGACTACATGGTGGGACTCTCCATCCTACTACCTTTGTTTACATATAGCTCGAACCTTCCCTTTCTGAACCGACCTTGTCAATATATCTGCAGCATTTCTGTCTGTGTGGATCTTTTCGCGAACACTGAAACTGCTTCTCTCAATGGCAAGCTCTAAGCCAATGAATATCTCTACTCAATGTGTTTCGTCCGTGCATGATACAATAGTATTTTTGCTCAAGTTCTAACGCACTTTGAACTATCAAACAATAAACTATATTATTCTTTCCTGCTGCACACCCAATTCTTGAAAAAATCGTTTTAACTAAAGCATTTCCTTTCCTGCTTCCGTTGCCCTGCAACGTAACTCTGCTTCGACTCGTGATAACGAAACCACATTTTTTGTAAAATCTCTTGCACTGCCAAATGCTCCCCCTGAGAATGTAATAGAATAATCCTGATGTAGATTTTCTTTTATCAAGAATCACGGCCATATCTGCATCTGTGTAGCCAACCAAGTGAAACTTTTCACCTCCAAAGTTAAATAACTTTGGAAGTTTCTCTCAGTATCCTGAAGATCCATCTTACTAGCTTCGCCAATGTGTCGTCTAGGATTTGAACAGAAATCGGCTCACAACGCCAACTGCATGAGCGATATCTGGTATCGTACACCACCATTGGCGTACATCAAACTTCCGAACCGTGAAAGAACTAGTGGACATTTGACATATCTCCTTTTTCTTTCCTCTGTTGAATGGGTAGGATTCCTTACTCAACTTGAAGTGAAGCGGCAACGGAGTGGCTAAATGGTTTAGCATTTTTCATATTGAACCTCTCTAGAACCCGTTCAAATATAAATTTTTTTTTTCCTGCGATAACCAGTAACCTGCGGACTTTCCTGTCTCGAATAATCTTCCATTCTGAGAATTCTACCTTGACGATCCCAAATCCTTTTCATGTCAAATCTTTTGACAAATCTCTCTTTAACCTGCTAATCATGTGTGCATCTGGTCCACGATTAGCAATCATCAACATATAAGAGAGATGATAAATTTACCTCAGAAAATTTCATGAACATATCACACAAGGATCTGCATCTGTCCTTTTGTATCCTTGATTCACCATGAAAGAATCAAACTTTTTATCCACTGTCGCGGTGCTTGTTCAACCCGTACAAGCTTTCTTTCAAGCGACAAACCATGTCCTCTTTTTCCTTGACCTTGAAACCTTTTGGTTGTTCCCCAATATAAATTTCTTCCTGTAGATTCCCCATGCAAAGAATACCGGTCTTTTACATCAAGCTACTCCCAAACTCAAGATTCAAACGGCTATTAAGACCTAACACAACTCGAAATAGACTCATTTTCACAACTGGTGAAAAATTCTC